GAAAAAAAAAAAAAAAAACTTTGTTTAATTTTTTGCTACCAATAGCAATATACAATGTATTCCATCTAACATGTAGAACGTTCAATGTACATGCCTACAGGTTCATTTAATATAAAAATATGTATATAGATTAATGTTTAATTGTTAACGCGGCAAATTGTAATAAAGAGCATAATAAAGTTAGCATTGGTTGGAATGAAAAATAACTAATATTTTGCTACTGAATATCGCCAGTATGTTTTCGTATAGTCTTTTCTTTTCTTATATGCCGCTAAAATTAAAAATAGTGAAAATATTACTTTTTTTTTAATTCTAATAAAATATAGTCGCAACGAATATTTTTTTTTATAAATAAACATTTCAAATTTTTTCCTTAAATTAGGAAAAAAAAAATATTATCCAACGGGAGTACTTTCTGTGAAAAATTAATTTGCTTTTGTCAATTATAAAGTCAATTCCTAATGAGTGTATCAAAAGTTGTTTGCCAAATTCAACAATGAATCCGATAGTAAGTTGGATTAAAACTGGCATTGCTCCATTAGAGGTCGATCCGTCTGCAACGACTGATGCATCCATCCGTTGGTGCCATCGAATCCCAGGGCATAGTGGATATCGGAGATCGGGTAGATCCACGGCGAAGCGACTGATGGGACCCTCCACCAGATACTGCTCAAAATCCTTGGATGCGAGTGGAGCCGCCCAGGTCACACGATTCTGTGTGTGGACGGCGTATACCCATCATCTAAATTTACTGTATTCAGCTTTGCTTCGCAACCTCCTTGTTGAGTAAAGATTTTGGAATGTTCCGCTGATGGAACACATCCCATATTACCGGGAATCGTCTGGAAGCAGCCACGTGCAGGGCTTCAAAATTTGTTTTGTTGCGATCCGAAACAATGGCCATCAAATTTCCAGATAGGCCCCAATTAACGATTTTCTTTAATACGATATCAATAGCCTTCTTAATTTTGTCGCTTCCCAGCTTTGATTGTCGTTTCCTGATTTTATCAACATAAATTGGGACCTGTGAATAAAAAACTGAACTTTTTGTGTGTTGATTGAAAACTGATTGAAGTTTTTTACTAATTTGAGGTCGCTGATTTCAAATCTGATCTCCATTTTTTTCCATCAGATCGCGTTTTTAAGTTAAAGGTATTAATAGTATTATTGAATTTTTTCAATCAATAAAAGTTCAAAGAGTCAAAACTTTACTCCTCATCGGACGATTTTCAAAAATTTAATTGTTTTGCAAAGCTAACAGTTACATTATAAAAAATAACCAAGTTTAGTTCTTTGTTTAAAACGCCCGATTAATTTGATTTTGTCAATTTTTGAGCTTGAAATTTTTCAAAAATACTTTTAATACCTGTAACTTAAAAACGCGATCTGATGGAAAAACGAGAAGGAACGTGGGAGTCGCTTCTGGGGTCGCGACTCTACCCGTACTCAGTCAGTATATACATTTTTGAGCTTGATTTTTTAGAATTTTAGAATTAAAAAAAAATGTTACATTTTACATTTTTTTGCTACATCTGTTATCTACATCTACAATGTATATTTTACATCTAACATGTACATTACAGATGTACCATTCATATTCTACATCTCCTCCGCTAGGGGTTGCTCGCGCACTGAACGCGGCAGAGTGTGCGAGCGAGAAAGAGAATGAGTATCGTATCTCTGGCAGGTGGAGGCGGAGGAAGCAACTGAAAATTAATTTCATCATTTTGGCTATAAATATTATCCGATCTGATTCAGATTCGGCAGTCTGGTAGATATGGGTATTCTCTACGATACTGCGTTTTATCGTATCTTTAAAAATATGGCTGCCACAGATTTTCGTCCTTTGTGGTGGCGGAAGGGGGCGGGGCGAAATTTTGAAATACACTTGTAGCAGTGTGATGTCACATGAGTCTGGAAACCAAATTTGGTTACCCAAAATCTTAGTTTTGTTAGGCGATCCGAAACAAGGGACAGACAGACATGTCTATATAGACCCGGCTATTGATGCTGATCAAGAATATATATACTTTATGGGGTTGGAAACGTTTCCTTCTCTGCGTTACACACATCCACTTTGACCACAAATCTAATATATCCCTTAACTCTTTTTTGAGTACGGGTATAAAAATGGAGATCAGATTTGAAATCAGCGACCTCAAATTAGTAAAAAACTTTAACAAAGTTTTAGGAAACATGGCTCAGTAATGGTTGTTTAAATAAAAAAGAAAAGAAAAAAATTACAAAGTCAAGTTTATTGGCTGGGATTGTGCCAATTGGCAATTGTGCTTTTATTAGCTTTATGAAAAATCATATTAAATTAGCTTCCTATGTACATTAAATCTCTAAACAAAATAATTCTAATTTAAGAAAATATTATAAAAGAAAAATTTTTTGATTAGTTACAAGTACATTATAATACTTATAATTTTCTTTTTGGACTACCGATTGGAATGAAATAAATATTAAATCATTTAAAATATGTTTAACTAAATGTTTTTATACCAAAACAATGATTTTTGTGTCTATTTTTTTTTATTATTAATTTTTAAACAAAAAAAAATGTTTTTTGTTTTTTTTTAAACTGCAACGAAAATCCAAAACTTCGATCTGATACAGAAAAACCAAGTACAGGGTTGGATTTAGCATCCACAATTACCGTACAAAACAACATTCAGTTCTTAATCAACAAAACCATTGTTACCTTATTTTAAAAATTTTATATCAAAATAATTGTAATGCAAACTACCTTGTTACTAAAATAAAATAAATCTAAAATAGCTTAAGACATGCAAAATTTTCTATGACACTACTATTATTTTGTATATAAGAGCGAGTAAGTAAACAATTACCACACGGATATAAATATAGCTAAAGTTGCTTCCGTCCATGCTCATTGCAGCAAATGCCAGCGCCTTCAATTTCACCGTTCCATCATCACTGGGTGTCTTAAGGGGGTGGCTGAATATATTTAAAAAATAAATGTGAATTATATAGTTAAATAAACACTTACCATATGCTGTAGATGATATTCGTCAAAATATATTACAAAAGGTTCATTAATAAACTTCGTTAATGATGACAGAAAATTTATTTTGCCATTCTGTATCTCCTCGAAATGTGCTGGGCGCTCCAAAAATTGTATAAAACTAGCAGAGATAACATCCTTTATTTTTATATATTGTATTTATTTACCACCCCACCCACTCTGCCCATCCCAATTGGCTGTCACTGGTTTGGAAAGCAAAAATCTATTATACACAATTCTTTTGAAATGGAGATCAGATTTGAAATCAGCGACCTCAAATTAGTAAAAAACTTTAACAAAGTTTTAGGGAAACATGGCTCAGTAATGGTTGTTTAAATAAAAAAAAAAAAAAAAAATTACAAAGTCAAGTTTATTGGCTGGGATTGTGCCAATTGGCAATTGTGCTTTTATTAGCTTTATGAAAAATCATATTAAATTAGCTTCCTATGTACATTAAATCTCTAAACAAAATAATTCTAATTTAAGAAAATATTATAAAATATTATAAAATTATACAAGTACATTATAATACTTATAACTTTCTTTTTGGACTACCGATTGGAATGAAATAAATATTAAATCATTTAAAATATGTTTAACTAAATGTTTTTATACCAAAACAATGATTTTTGTGTCTATTTTTTTTTATTATTAATTTTTAAACAAAAAAATATTGTGTTTTGTTTTTTTTTAAACTGCAACGAAAATCCAAAACTTCGATCTGATAGAAAAACCAAGTACAGGGTTGGATTTAGCATCCACAATTACCGTACAAAACAACATTCAGTTCTTAATCAACAAAACCATTGTTACCTTATTTTAAAAATTTTATATCAAAATAATTGTAATGCAAACTACCTTGTTACTTAAATAAAATAAATCTAAAATAGCTTAAGACATGCAAAATTTTCTATGACACTACTATTATTTTGTATATAAGAGCGAGTAAGTAAACAATTACCACACGGATATAAATATAGCTAAAGTTGCTTCCGTCCATGCTCATTGCAGCAAATGCCAGCGCCTTCAATTTCACCGTTCCATCATCACTGGGTGTCTTAAGGTAGTGCTGAATATATTTAAAAAATAAAAATGTGAATTATATAGTTAAATAAACACTTACCATATGCTGTAGATGATATTCGTCAAAATATATTACAAAAGGTTCATTAATAAACTTCGTTAATAATGACAGAAAATTTATTTTGCCATTCTGTATCTCCTCGAAATGTGCTGGGCGCTCCAAAAATTGTATAAAACTAGCAGAGATAACATCCTTTATTTTTATATATTGTATTTATTTACCACCCCCACCCACTCTGCCCATTCCCAATTGGCTGTCACTGGTTTGGAAAGCAAAAATCTATTATACACAATTCTTTTGACATACAAAGTATACGCAGCTCGAAAAAAGGCACCAAATTGCGGTCAACAATTTGTACCTGTTGTTTTTTAGTATCGTGCAGTTGATTGGTGGTTCGTACACCCACAATACCGCAAAATTAATTATCAAAATTGGAAAACGATCTGAGGATCGAGTAAGTGCAATACCGAGCATCCGCAAACTGAACTACAACGAGCGCGCTAGTTATGTATCCAGACGGATTTACCGTTATTTGCTATGGCAAATAATCAAGGGTTCTTTTCCCGAAACAGAAGACATCTGTATCGTTTTAGTGTTAAAAGTATAATGATAATTTATTCTGCGTTTGCTCTTTTTAAATAAGCCTGCTATATGTCGATCCCTATCTCTCTCTCTCCTTGTCTCTCCTTCCTTGTTCTGTCTCTTCTCGGCTTCCGTGTCATGTCCAGTACAGTGGACATTGGTTACGGTGGACACTCAGCAGTAGGTGTGCCATCTTGGGGAAGTAGAAATGGTAACTCGCTCGCCTTGAGAAATGGCTGCAGAACGAGGACATCACTCTGAACCCCCGTTCGCGTCGCGACACATACTGCGATGTGCGATCCGTGGCAGAGATCCTCAAGAAGTGGCATCCTTCAATAGAGCTGCGCTGCTATACTGCAGCCAGCAGCTTCATTCGTCGGCTGCAGAACTGGCAGGTGTTCTCGTTCCGCGAACTGAAAAAACTGGGCCTCCGACTGAAGACGGAGGATCTGAAACAGCTGGCCGAAGGCAGGCCAGGAGCAGTCGACTGGATGCTGTTCAACCTCATTGGCAAGAATGAAGTATGGCCGAGCATTCGAAACACGCCCAAGTCCAACTCCTTGGCGGGGATGAGCCTTAACCGCATGGTCGCCTTTCGCACTCCTGAATCTAGTTGGACATTGGATAAGGATTGGAAGTTATAGATCGCTTGGCAAGTATTTAGTTACTTAATTAAAAGGCTTGCCGATGATTCTATGGATAATTCTCCTTCCATACAGGTCTACATGCCACCTTTCGCCCACCAATAAGCTACCAATAGTCAGTTTCAGGTGCAGGTCGAATGCTTGAGGACTCTCTCTGCAGGACTCTCTCTCTCTCTCTGATTGGAGATGGAAATTACGGACAGTCTGAAAGAGGCTACAAAAACAGCTTATTTTGCTGCGAATAATAATAATAACAGATATTAAATTCTAAATTTATACCTGCGCTTTTACTAGTCCACAAGACGTGAGTGGGTGAGCAGCCTTGGGCGGCTATGCCAGGATTGTGTTGACGAGTAAATTTATTCTTAACTTTGAGTTTGTTTTCCTGCTTGCATAGTGCAAAACAATCTATGATCTGTCCATAATACTTGGGATGTAGATGCAGCCAGGCGAGGGATGGAACTTGCCTACTGCCAAGCACTCGCTGTAGTTTGGCCCTGTCCACATACAGAGTCTCCCCATTGACATTGGGGACTGGCCAGAGTCGAGAAACTGCACAGGCAGTGTAGCACCCATCCTTGATCTGTGGCAGTGGAAGGGTTACGGTTAGAGGCCTTTCACTGTGCGTCTCTCCCCAAGTGTTCCACCAACCTGCCAATCTGCTGGTCCGTCTCTGGGGCAATCCGGATGGCCAAAACTCTAAAAGGGAGAACAGAAATGGAAAACTTTCAGTTGGGATTTCCCTGAATTTGAACAAGCATACACATACTCCACTGTCGATGCTTTCAGCTAGGATCCATTCCCATAGCCCATCCACATACGCTCATCTAGATATGTCGCCTTTTGTTCGTGTAGTGGCCCCTGGACCCAGCTGGGCTCAAGGAGCGAGCCTTGGAACAGCTTCGCATTCTTGGCAGCACTTCCCCCATTGAAAACGCATTAAACAGTAACCAGTCGACGGTCCCGGGCTTACCCTCGGCAGTATACAGTATACTGTAGGTTAGTGATATGGCGCTGAACGGCAGAACGGACTTTGGGAGCTCGCCGCCACCACAAATAGATCCGCAGAAAATTTATAATGATGAGGACATGGAGAAGAGAAGTGGAGGAGCGGTAATTCAAATGATGGAAATACTGCGAGAACATTTTTCAATAATTCGGAATTATCAGCTGATATAACTGGCTACGATGAAAGCCTTATAATACGATGTTCAACATTGCTCCAAGCTATGGCATCAGGGTACAGGATTAATTCTGAAAAAATTCCGAATATATGCTTTTGACACTGCCAAGAAGTTACTAGATTTGTATGATTGATACTACTTTCCGCCCACAGTGCACAAAGTTTTAATCCATGGTGCAGATGTGATTAATTTTGCGCTTGTTTCAATTGGAGAATTATTAGAAGAAGCTGCAGAATCGCGAAACAAAGATATACAAATATTTAGAAAGCAGCATACTAGGAAAATATCTCGAATTGCAACAAACACGGATTTAATAAACAGACTACTTTTGTCTTCCGATCCCTTTATTACAGGACTAAGGAAATTACCATGCAAATACAATTCAAATTTAATGAAATCTGCATTAGATTTGTTAGAAGAATCGGATTAATTATTATTTCTTCCCTTTTTTTTTTTGATTATTTAATTTATACCACGCCCATTTCTTTTGTTATGACTCCTATTTTGTTTGTATAGTGTCAATTGTCAATTTCTTAAGCCAGTCGTTCTTTTCACCTCGCTCCTGCCTTTTTGCGATAATAACTCAATATTAATTGCTAATAATTGTGTAAATCATTGAACCTATCATTGCTGATCACTGTTTGTGCCAGTTATATCTGTTTTACTTGCTATTCAATTGATTAAATATAATAAAACATTACGATCGTTAAACAAACTTGCTAAAACGATTTGTTTAGTGCTTTTATCTATTCCGCTTTGGATCAACGCTCTCTCTCTCTCCGCTGCATCGCCTACTTACACACGCTCTGGAGCGCACAAGTGCAAGCTCTCTTGCTCTCACTCTCTGGATTTTACCTGCATTCTTCTCCAATTACTCTTTCGGTGTCTCTGCTGTCGTGAGCTTCACCGTTTGTTTTCGTCACCTCGCTGGATCATCTGCCGCTGCTGCTGATCGTCGCTCGCTCTGCTGCCCGCTCTCTCATATAGCTTTGCGTTCTTCTTGGAGCACAGTGATTCAACTGCTGTCAAAAATGGCTGTTGTCTGCTGTGCAAAAAAATGCGAATTCGGTGGCAACATAGTCAGCGATTCATTCCTCAGCTGCTGGCTATGCGACAATGTCGCCCATATAAAATGTGCTGGTGGTGGTAATTTTGGACGAGTACACGATCTCATCTCAAAACGTATGGGTCTGACTTGGTAATGTTTGGCCTGCCGGGATATTGAGGCCGAAATGCGCACTTTTATGAGGCAGACTCGTACTGGCTTTCTGGATGTCCGGAAGCAATTTGTCGCTCTCAACGAGAAATTCCTGAACCTGGAATCTCAATTTCTTGGCCTCAAGCTTCTGAGTGAATCTCCTAGACGGAAAATCCCTAACACCGATAACAGCAACTTCTTGAAACCTATTGGAATCGGAACGCCTTCTTCTTACCTACATACATCGGCATCTTTGGCTTCGCCGAGTGGTCATGCCTTGCCGGAAATCAATCCGTTTCTCACACAATGTTATGCCACTCACTGTATCCATCACTGCTGACACCGCTGTTCTGCCCCGGGACTCACTGTCCTCACTGTTCCTGCCACCGTTCCTGTTCCAGCCACCGTTCCTGTTCCATTCATTGCCTCGGCTGCTGCCATCGTTTCTGCCCCGGGACTCCAACTAAGAGCAGTAGTACCTCAAAAGGCAATCTTTGTATCTCGCCTCCTCCCAGAAACCACACCGGAAGATGTTAATCTACATCTTAATCATTATCTCAACTCACCGCCTGATGCCTTTATCATAACTAAATTTAATTTTGACCATAAGCGTAATATTTCATCCTTAAAAATTTGTCTTCCCGATTCTCTTTTATCCAAAGCCTTGGAACCGTTCGCGTGGCCTGAGCACTAACCATACAACATATAGATCAGGGGTCGGCACACAGACTCACACATTTTTTTGGTGCGTTTGTGTGCGAAAACAACAGACACGAAGTCAAATACGTTACTTATTTCTCTGCCGCTGCGAAAGCCGAAGAATTGTACACGAAGCCGTTCATAAAATATTTTTTCGTTTTGTTTTGAAAAGCTGTTGTGTTGCGTCGGGCGCGCGGGGTATTTCTTCCATTCTCTTTTCTTTTAGGCTAGCCTTTGCCTCTGCTTTCGGCTTCGTCAATGCCTCGACCCGACCCGCGTCGAGTCGAGCGACAGAACACACCAAGAAAATATGAAGTCTTACGACGGGAATAGGTCCAGGGCCGGATTAGCAGTTGCCTAGGGCCCTCCTAGAAATAAACGAAAAATTTTGTTGAAAAAACAAAACTCCAAATAATGAATAAAAAATATAATAGCCACTGAGAAAAATACAAAATAAAGGAGGGCCCCAGATTGATGGTTGCCCAGGGCCCGGTTGAGGGTTGATCCGGCCCTGAATAGGTCGCTACATCACATCAGCCCTCAAAACAAAACGAAAAATCAATTCAAGCGGCCAACAATTGTAGAGCCCACTTACAAGCACAGTATGTGTGAATACATGGCACACACACATTTACGTAACCTGGAAACGAAACTCAAAACGGTTTCGGAAAATAAGAATTGATACAAAATTTTGTCGTGTCTGTTTACACACATACATTTGCAATTCTCAGCTTGCCTTCGCTTCCCGACATGAGTCATACATGCCGAACGGCCCAGCTCCCGACCCAAATGGCCTGGCTCCCGACCCGAGTGTCTCAGCCTCACAGAGCCGAAGCGCCTGGGAGCTGGGACAAACACTCGGCTGCGCCCCTTTCGTTGTATGAACTGGCACATCTCCATATATACTGTATGGTTAGTGCTTCGGGCCATGATGCAATTATATATTTACATTTTTACATTTTTTTGCTACATCTGTTATCTACAATTTATATTTTACATCTAACATGTAGATTATAAATGTACCATTCATATTCTACATCTCCTCCGCTAGGGGTTGTTCGCGCACTGAACGAGGCAGAGTGTGCGAGCGAGAAAGAGAATGAGTATCGTATCTCTGGCAGGGGGAGGCAGAGGAAGCAACAGAAAATTAGTTTCTTCATTTTGGCTATAATTTTGATCCGATCTGATTCAGGTTCGGCAGTCTGGTAGATATGGGTATTCTCTACGATACTGCGTTTTATCGTATCTTTAAAAATATGGCTGCCACAGATTTTCGTCCTTTGTGGTGGCGGAAGGGGGCGGGGCGAAATTTTGAAATACACTTGTAGCAGTGTGATGTCACATGAGTCTGGAAACCAAATTTGGTTACCCTAAATCTTATAGTCTCTGAGATCCAGGCGCTCAACAAGACGGACGGACAGACAGACATGTCTATATCGACTCCGGCTATTGATGCTGATCAAGAATATATATACTTTATGGGGTCGGAAACGTTTCCTTCTCTGCGTTACACACATCCACTTTTATCACAAATCTAATATACCCCTTAACTCTTTTTTGAGTACGGGTATAAAAATTCCACTCATACCTTTCATGCAGCTCGTTGCTCCATCGACGACAGCGCTTTCTTCGACGAACACCTAGAATACTGTGGGTGGAGACAAATTTAAAGCTATAGGGCCGGGAAACATGTTATCACGGATCGGTGGTGAAGATGAGGGCAAGCAATAACGGAATAGCACAAAAAAACACTAATCACACTTAATTATTCAACTGTTTTTTTCTTTTCACCCCTCTTACAGTATGCTTAACTTTACTGCCTCCTCATTTCTCCTCTCCAAATCTTCCTCTTCTTCCTTATGCGGGTTGGGAATAAGACAATAAATAACTGATCTTTCTTCCGCCGCCTGAAACTTTTGTTCGGCAGAGATCTACACTCGGATTCCGCCTTCTCTTCTCCTACCGACGAAGGGGTGTTGGGGACGGGAATTATACACCCAAGCACACTCAGAACTATTCTGCTAGATGCACTCGACGGTAGGTATGCCGACTTAACGCAGTTCTTGGTGGAGTTTTTATTAAGCGCCAAGACTAAGAAAAAAAGATTTTTTTGACTTTTTCCTCAGCATTGCTTTCGGACTCAGCGCTATTTGAGTTCTGACGGCCAACACAGCCTTTACCCTTTTCCAACTCGGCACAATCACAATTAGAATAGAAAAATGGAATAATCAAAACTGAGAAGCCAATTTTCGCACTATCGTTGAACTTGTTAGCGCATTTCTTCTTCGTCTTGAGCACTAGATGGCGCCACCCCAACTAACATATATTCCTACTATAAGCACTACAAATGCGGGCAGCTCCCGGCTAGGGACCCCCCTTTCTGGCCCGATCGCAGTCTACGACGCCTTCTGTCGGTCGGAGTTTTGACCTGAACATAATGGCTTCTTTGGCGGCTTCTTCTTCTCGGGTGGCATGGAACGCCTTGGTGGCCTCGATCCAGGCCTTCGTTGACCTGATGGCGCTGGGGGCCGTCGCTGGCTCCGTCCGGGGCAGCGAAAGTGTCAATTGCCAGCTGCGGGCAAGGTTCCCTTATTCGGGGCTGGTGGCTGCTTTCGGCGGATTTTTGCCTTTGTGACACGGAGGGCCGGGCCTTCCCGAAGCGTCCATCATGCAAGACCTCTAGTGGGCTCGGGGCTCTGCGTTTGATGCTCCCGTAGCGGGTCGTCGCTTCTGATCCCGCTGTCGCAGGCGCTTCAGCTCACTCTGGAGAATCTCGTTCTCACGTCTTAGGAGCTGGAGCTCCCCGAGAGGTTCGTCGGGGCGTCCTCCCTGGATGGCTGCCACAGTTCCGTCGCCGGCGATGGCGAGCCGTCGTAGAGCCACCCGTGAGGTGGATGGGCCTTCGGCGAGCTCTTGTAGCAGGTGCATGGCCCCGTGGAACGGGACGCCCCCTGGATCGGCATTCTGTGTGAGGTGCTCCCCTGTGAAGGCGTGGAGTGGTGTTGGCCCGTGGTGAGCCGGGCGTTGTGGCTCTATTGGCTGAGGCGTTGGGTGCCGTGTCTATATATACCCTACCTATATCCTGCCGATAGGTGCGATTTACATTTGTTATTATTCCCATAAGGGGAGTTATCCGTAGCTTACTGTGGCATTGCCGCGGACGTTCCTTTCGGAGCAAGGACGTTAGGGCACCGCGAGGAAGGTGGCTCCTCCGATTGCAGAAGTTTCTGAAGGAGCGGCTCGTAAACTGGGTGCCGTTGTCGAATACAAACTTTCTGCGCGTTCCGAAGTGGCTAAGGATGCGTGCTCGGAATGCCGTTATGGGTACTAGCTCCACCCACAGCGGCAGCCGACGACTGTATGTGCGCACACGTATTCTAAAGCATTATAGATCTGCCTGCATGCATACGGTTTTTTACAGCGCTGTCGAAATATACCCTTCACTTAAGAATTTTTGTATGGTGGTATGACACGTTTTATAGACGCTTGCCGCCCAATACAAAAAAATCGTATATTGTTTGGAAATATTTTATGTGCAGTTTGTTTTTAAAATATAGAATTTATGAATATAATTACATAAAATATTTCAAACATGACTTCATACACCAGCAATTGTGCTTAGGGTATTCAGCGGGCGTCGTGCCAAGAAAATTTTCATCAAGCCCGAATGTGTGCTTGTGTAAGTATGTACGTGTGCACAGCAAACGACTGACTATGACTTTCTGGAGATCACCGAGGAGGGCTACTCCATGAACACCATCCACGGGCGCTTCTGTGGCAAGCACAAGCCACGCCACCCATTATAGCCAGCGACCATCTACCGCGAACACACATTTTGCCCCCAAGCAGACTTATGTGAACAGATTGAGGATTGCCGGGGGTGGATTTATGTGTTTTTTTGTTGATATTTTTAAATAAATTATAAATAATTTTAATTGAACCATTCTTCTGGCACTGTAGCGTATTTATTTATGTCTATATTCAAATTTGAAATGCGCGCTCTGCCATTCGGAGGAAGCGCTTACATGTACAATACCACAAATTTACGTGGCGCCAGTGCGGCCACATCTTGGACTATGAAATAAATATGATTTAATATGGAAAAAAAAATGATCATGGAACTTTAATTCAAAAGCTCAATTCAAAGCTTTCGTACTAGATATTAAAATGAAAAAAAACTTAGTTTAATTTGCATCAATAACAATTTTTGTTTAAGAAAAAAAATTCAATATGTTCTTCACAATTTTGAAATGTATGAAATGTGTAGTTGCCATGTAAAAATACTTCATTATTATTCGCCTTCTTTGTTTATACTCTTATTTTATAAACAATACAAGAAAAAAGAGTCTTTTAAATTATCCAGATTGTAGAAAATTGATTTTTCTATTGGACAAAACTACATGTTCAGTTCTGAGAGTCCTACCTAGCTTGAAATATTAATTCGAATATCAATATTGAGGAATATAATTTTCATCGGTATATTTACGGTATTTTTTAACATAAGAAGGTATATTTCGGTATATTTATGAGGGTCAGTCACATTGTTTGGATGACAACCCTAGCCGATTGTTTTCAAAATGGCAACGGCGGCGTCCGCGCTAATTTTATTTCGAGCGTAGATTTTGATACTAATTGTTGTTCAGCCGCGTTTTGTTAATCGTGTTAAGTGTTGCTGTGTTCATGGCACGTCCCTGTTAATTAAGTTTTGCGTTTTTGTTCATCGTTGTTAGCTGCTAGTGTTATTTTTGGTGTGCCGGCATTCGCGATGAGCGCCTTCGAGGTAAGTGGCCCGTGCGATCCAACAAAGAATTGCATTTCTACATTTGAGGATGCATGTATTTTGCAGGTCACAGTGACGCCGTCGCGGCAGAAGCATAAGAAGCCCATCGAAGGTCGCGAGCCGGCCGTGGTGGTCATGGCTCCGTTTTCGGCCAAGGCGATTGTGCAGTTTGAGGACGTGCCCGTAACCAAAACAGCCAGGCGCTTCGTGCGCGTCATCAACCCCAGCGACGAAGACATTGAGGTTAGTTGGTCGCCGATATAGATCAGTCGGCGGCTGCCTGGCAACATGTATTTGATCAATGCTAAGCACCCTTGCGGCTTCTAGGTCAAAGTAACGAAGGGCATCAAGGAGGAGCACAACTTGACTGTCGAATGGATGGAGCACGTAATTCCCGCTCGCGACGAGGTCTCCATGGAGCTAGTCTGGAGCCCCGAAATGGAGGTGGCCTGCAAGGAGACGCTGCATCTGCTTGACAATAGAAATTTTCGAAAGGACGTCATGATCATACTCAAGTCCAAGAGCAACCAGCCGGTCAAGGTAAGTAAGCCCTTTAAGACTCACACCAATCCCGCAACTCACCCTTCTGCTTCTCCCATTATGTATGTCTCGCCTACCTGAAGAACCCGCGCAAATTTCCAACCGTAGGCAAGACGCTGCATCTGAAATCGCCGACGGGCGGGTCAAAGAAAACAAAAAGTGCGGCAGCAGCTGCTGTGCAGCAGAAGAAGCGTCTGTCCGCCGCAGCGGCTCCGTCCAAGCAGCCCTGGCGTTCTTGCAGCGGCTCACGGACTGTTCGGCCATCCTCAGCGGCCCCTCATGCCCCGCTGACGGATAAGAATGTTTACAAGCTCTCGCAGGAATCTGCTTATATCTCACCACAGCCACGCACGTGCAAGGAGAACGTTAGTCCAATGACTCCTGCAAATTTGTTCAACATAATAGACACATTTAAGTTCACGCCGCTCACTGAAACGCGCGGCACTAGCGCTGGAATTCTGCCAGAGAATCTGGCTGCCTGGCCGACACCTAACCTAGTCACAGATGGCATACCGACCGTGGGCGATTTGCGACCCCGTCGCCTCATCCCTGACGAGTTTGAAGAGCCACCTCCCACGAACAAAACATTTGATGTGAAGCATTCAGAGACCATAAACATGTCGGTGGACACGTTGGACTGCTCGCGCTCCGAAGTGCTGCTGCAAACGCCCACTGCTCAGAATAAAACCACAACCATTGTCCATGCAACCCACCCCAGGGCCCTGGAATGCATACGCGAGGAGGAGGCATCCAGCCCACCGAAGGCGTCAGCCAAGGGCCCCGTTAAAGATTTGAAGAGGGATATCAAACTAGTTGGTTCACCACTGCGAAAATATTCAGAGTCCATGAAGGATCTGTCGCTGCTGTCGCCGCAAACAAAGCTTGCTATTCAAGGCTCGATGCCGAATCTCAATGAAATGCAGATACGTTCGATCGAACAGAATCGGTACTTCCAGGAGCAGCAGACTCCGCTAATGAGTACCAAGCAGCTGGACGGCACGTTGCTGGACAGCTCCATTTGCAGCGAAATGAGCATGATGTGCCCGCAAGACTTTCTCTTCAATCACAACGAGATCCTGGCCCAGTCCAGTCGATTCAATCTCCATGAAGTGGGCCGCAAATCGCACAAGTGCAGCCCTGTGAAGGAGAAAAAGACTGCTATTTCTCAGAAGCGTCGCTCCCATGAGCTAAGCTTCTCGGACTCGCCCAGCAACGAGTCCCTCTATCGCCACGAGTCCACAATGGCCATCTCACCGCCCAAGAAACAGCGCGTTGACGACATCTCCCTGCTCCGAAGTGCAGCTCCAGCCAATGCCTCCGCCAGAAGTGGCAGCACGTGGACGCACACACAGCCCAAGAAGTTTAAGCTGGCCCAAACGATGTCGCTGATGAAGAAGCCTAACACACCAGGGCGTAAGGTTAAGGAAGCAGCTCCCGTTAAGCTCTACGACTCTGAGCTCTACATGCAGACCTACATCAATCCGGATCCGTTTGCAGCTACAACCACGGCAGATCCCTTTCTGGCCTGCACCATGTACCTGGATGAGCAGGCGGTGGAGCGTCATCAGGCGGACTTTAAGAAGTGGCTGAACGCCTTGGTGACCATACCCGCTGATCTGGATGCCGACTCGAACAGCAAAATCGATGTGGGCAAGCTATTCAATGAGGTGCGCAACAAGGAGCTGGTAATGGCGCCCACTAAGGAGGAGCAGTCCATGAACTATCTGACCACGTTCCGCCTGGAAACGCTGCGTCGGGCAGCTGTGGAGCTATTCTTCAGCGAGCAAATGCGTCTGCCCTGCTCCAAGGTGGCCGTCTATGTCAATAAGCAAGCTTTGCGTATCCGCAGCGATCGCAATCTGCACCTGGACGTGGTCATGCAGAGGACCATCCTGGAGCTGCTGCTCTGCTTCAATCCCCTATGGCTGAGACTGGGTCTGGAGGTGGTGTTTGGCGAAAAGATTCAGATGCACTCCAACAGAGATATTGTGGGCTTGAGCCACTTCATCCTCAATCGATTGTTCAGGAACAAGTTCGAGGAGCAGAAGTACAGCAAGGCCTTCACCCTCACCGATGAGTACGCGGAGACCATCAAGAAGCACACGCTGCAAAAGATTCTGTTCCTGCTGCTCTTTCTGGACCAGGCCAAGCAGAAGCGCATCGTCAAGCACAATCCCTGCCTCTTTGTTAAGAAGTCCCCCCACAAAGAGACGAAGGACATATTGCTGCGCTTCTCCTCGGAGCTGCTGGCCAACGTTGGGGACATCTCGCGCGAGTTGCGCCGCCTGGGCTATGTGCTCCAGCACAAGCAGAGCTTTCTCGACGAGTTCGACTATGCCTTCAACAATCTGGCTATAGACCTGCGAGACGGCGTCCGGTTGACCCGCGTCATGGAGGTCATCCTGCTGCGCGACGACCTCACCCGTCAATTGAGAGTGCCTGCCATATCGCGGCTCCAGCGAGTCTTTAATGTGAAATTGGCTCTGAACGCTCTGAATGCAGCAGACTTCCAGCTGGGCGGTGACATCTCCGCCCCGGATATCGTGGACGGTCATCGCGAGAAGACGCTTTCGCTGCTCTGGCAGATCATCTACAAGTTCCGTTCGCCCAAGTTCCATGCGGCTGCCAAGGTACTCCAGAAATGGTGGCGTCATCGTTGGCTGCGCGTTGTCATCCAGCGTCGCATACGCCACAAGGAGTTGATGCGGCGCCATCGGGCAGCCACTGTCATACAGGCCACCTTCCGCGGTCACCAGATGCGGAAGTACGCCAAGCTCTACAAGGAGGAGCGCCTTCAAGCCACCATCATCCTGCAGAAGTACACGCGTCGCTTTCTGGCCCAGAAGCAGCTCTATCAGAGCTACCACAGCATAATCCTCATCCAGCGATGGTGGCGGGCCCAAGTGCTAGGCCGGCAGTGTCGCCAGCGGTTCCTGGAGGTGCGTCAGTCCGCGATTTTCTTGCAGCGCATTTGGCGGCGGCGTCTATTTGCCAAGAAACTTCTCGTGGCTGCCGCCACAGCTCGTCTTCAACGCTCGCAAAAGCAACAAGCTGCCGCCAGCCATATTCAGATGATGTGGCGCAGTCATTGTTTGGCCAGGAGCCAGCGGCAGGAGTACCTGCGCCAGCGGCAGCTCGTTATCTTTGTGCAGCGTCGAATGAAAGGAAAATGGATAATGCTAAAGCAGCGCCAGGAGTTCCTAGAGCTAAAGAAATCCACCAAAATCGTACAGCAGCGCTGGCGTGCCATGGTCCTGATGAGGAAGGAACGAGCCCACTTCCAGCAACTTCGTATTTGTGCTCTTAAGCTGCAGACACACAGGAGGGCCACGCTTCAGATGAGACAAGTCCGTGACAGCTTCCAGGCCACCAGGAAAAGTGTCATTGTCATCCAGGCACGCATGCGTGCCACTTGGGAGATGCGTAAGCAGAGAGAAGTCTACCGGAGACAGTGCATGGCTGCTGTTACTATACAACAACAATTTCGCTTGCGTCTGGATATGATCAAGGATCGAAATTCGTTTTTGGCGACCCGCCGCAGCATCATTAATGTCCAACAACGCTGGCGCGCCACTTTGCAGATGCACCAAGAGCGTGGCAAGTACTTGCAGCTCAAAGCGTGCACCCGTTTCGTCCAAAGTAAATTCCGAGCGAAGCGCCTAATGCTGATCGAAAGTCAGAAATACCACCGACTGAAGAAAGCTGTCTTGGTGGTTCAACAGCGTCGCAGAGCTGTGGTTAAGATGCGGGAGCAGCGCCAGTATTTCCTTCGATTGCGTGAGGTTACCATCAACATGCAGAGACGATTCCATGCCCATAAGGCCATGCGATTCATGCGGGCCAAATACCGAGGCACCCAGGCTGCCGTGAGCTGCCTGCAGATGCACTGGCGGGCGCATCTCTTGAGAAAGCGAGAGCGAAGCGGTTTTCTTGCACTGCGTCAGGCAGCCATCACACTGCAGCGCCGCTACAGAGCCCGCTTAGCCATGATTAGGCAAAGGAATGGCTACCGGCAGCTCAGGAATGCAGCAATCGTTATTCAGCGGCGCTATCGAGCCAAGGGGCAAATGGAGAAGCAGCTCTCACTGTACCACAAGAATCGGGCTGCCATAATCAAGGCCCAGCAACGTTATCGCGGTAAAATCGAGATGAGGCTGCAGCGTTCCCACTACCAAAAGCAACGCCAAGCGGTCATCCGTCTTCAAAAGTGGTGGCGCAGTCTCAAAGAGATGATTCAACTACGCCAGGGCTACCGAAGAATGCGCGCCGGCTCGATGAGCATTCAGCGCAAGTGGCGGGCGACCGTAGCGGCCCGTCGCCAGCGGGAGATCTTCTTAAAGACCATCCTGAAGGTTCGTCTCGTGCAGCAATTTATCCGAGCCACCCTGCTGATGCGAAAGGAGCGCGAAACGTACCGGAAGCAGCGTGAGGCAGCTTTGGTTCTACAGCGTCGCTTCCGTGCCCGTCAGTCCATGCATAAAGTCCGCGTGGAGTTTCAGCTTCTACAGTCGATTACCATTCGCCTGCAGCGCAAGTTCAGAGCCACACGCATCATGCACGAAGTGCGCCATGAGTTTGTCCAGCTACGTGAGATTACCATACATCTGCAGCAGAAGTTCCGCGGCAAGCAGCTGATGATAAAGCAACGCGAGCGTTTCCTACTGCTGCGCCGTTCCATTTTCAATTTCCAGACCCATTCGCGTGGCTACTTGGCCCGCAAGCGCTTCCAGGCTCTGATGACCCCAGAGATGAAGCATCTTATCCGCCAAAAGCGGGCGGCCAAGGTAATACAGCGCTACTGGCGCGGCTATCAAACGCGTCGTCAGCAGCGCCATCAGGGACTGTTGGCCCTGCGAACGCGAATTGTGCAGCTGCGGCGTGAGGCGAAGGCCACCAACTCGGTGCGCACCAAGGTGCAGGAGGCAGTTGGATTCCTGCGCGGTCGCTTCATTGCCAGCGATGCCTTGGCTGTGCTAAATCGATTGGGTGAGTACCTCTAATTGTGTTCCAATGGACCAAACTAATCCACCCGCCTGCCATACGCCCTACAGATCGTCTGTCGCGCACTGTGCCACATCTGCTCATGTGGTGCTCGGAGTTCATGTCGACATTTTGCTATGGCATCATGGCCCAAGCCATACGCTCGGAGGTGGACAAGCAGCTGATCGAACGCTGCAGTCGCATCATTCTCAATCTGGCTCGCTACAACAGCACCACGGTCAACACATTCCAGGAGGGCGGCCTGGTGACCATTGCCCAGATGCTGTTGCGCTGGTGCGACAAGGACAGCGAGATATTCAACACCCTCTGCACACTCATCTGGGTGTTTGCCCACTGTCCCAAGAAGCGAAGGGTTAGTTGTCCCCCTATAATTGCCAATTTGTTGCACTCAAATCAGAATCTTTTACTCTGCAGATCATTCACGACTACATGTCCAACACGGAGGCCATTTACATGGTGCGCGAGACGAATAAGCTCGTGGCCCGCAAAGAGAAGATGAAGCAGAATGCCCGGAAGCATCCACCCATCACCAGCGTACGCCATCCATCGCAACAGTTGCCAATATTCTCGCCCCGCGCTCTGCCCAGCCTGGAGCCGGACTTTGGCATCATACGCAACAGTCCGTACACTTTCATATCGTCCGTGTTTGCCTTCGATACAATTCTAAGCAAGCTGAATATTGAAATATTCTAGGTTTAGTTCCAACCCTAAGCTAAATGTTAAATGTTTGAAACGTTTTCTGTTTTTTAGTCACTTAACTGTTAATTAAAATTTGTAACTCTGTCGAGTGTTTGCCCAACCTGAACATAAGTGTAGGATAAGTTATTTTAAGAGAGACATTACTTTGTATTGTATATTATATCTGGAATAGCTACGTATGGAAAGAGTCAACGAAGATTGTAACTAATGTATTTACGAGCTAAGCTTAGGTTTATTGTTTTTTATTGAGCCCAGAAGCAGAACGAATGTAAGAAATAAATTTGAGAAATGAAAGTAGCGGGGACTGCGTGTTTTGCTTGCACCACGCTGCTGTGCTGTTTATTTAGGAATAGATGCATGTATGCACAAAGCATTTACATATATGGTACGTATGTGCATATATAGTATAGTTAAATTAATAATCACTTTGATACATCCAATATTAGTTTGCTATTTGTGTGTATATTCCCAATATTCAAGTTTGTCCGTCTATGCGCCTCTATTTCGGTTGCAACTAATGCCACTCGTCGACTCGAGGGATTGCCCCAAGTATAAAGCTGTGTGTGTATAGTATTAGCTAATGCCCCATTAAAATGTGTACTCTAATTGGATTGAATCTGCATATATATATATATATATATGTATATGTATATTTTGTATATATATTCGTATAACATTCTATGTATTTCTTCCTTGATAATTGCACACGCCAGAGTTTCATTCCCATCTCATTCTTTGACCTATCTCTTCCTCTCTTTTAATTTATTTTTTTGGGTTTTTTATGCAATTTTATATTGCCTTTTAAACTAGTTAGTTGCCGCCGTTGAACGTCTGGAGTTAATAACTAATGTGGAAATCATAGTGTTTATCGGTATGCTTTATTTTAGATATTTTGTGGGACGAAGGGCGTGCAGTTTGATTCAAAGACATTTAGATTAGTTCTTGGAGAGGTTTTACAGTACAAGAGTCCTAGAGCCTTTTGCAAATACTTGAATTGATAGTTAAGTAGGTTTTTATCTCAATTGGCACACGGCTGGATCTGGTTGAGTGTGCCATTTGAGGTGTCCTCCTCCGCGGTTGGACTTAACGCCGCCCGAGACCAAAGTTGAAGGGCTGCGGGCGCGTCGTTCGCTTGTTCTGTCTGCCAGGTCGGACTGCAAGGCGGAGAGCTAACCAATTAAGGGTCATATTTGATCTGGGGAAGGATTCACTTACCTCCACGCTCCACTGCCATATAGTTCGCTGGCGGCACTCGGTAGTCAATCTCGTTGTCCTGATCGTAGTCGTAGTCGCTGCGCTTTCCCAGGCCGAAGGAGTACGGACGCGACCTCTTGCCCAGCCCAAAGTTATAGACCGGCAGCCGCTTCATGCCCGGTCCGCCGTTGTTGTACATATAGGCGCGACGGCCCAATCCAAAGGCATATCGTTCTACCCGCTTGTCAATGTCTCCGCCATTATCGGCCATCTCGTCGGCGCCGAGCAGGCCGTCGGCATCGCCCTCGCCAGAGACTGGATTGCGTTGGTCCTGGCCTATGACCGGCGAACAGGCAATATAGCCGACGCAGCACAGGGCCAACAGCAAAAGATGGGCATTAAGAGTGTTCATTGTGATGCTGGGGGCACGGAGCACTAGCACACGTCTGACTGCTGAAAAGGGGAGACAAAGTGAGCAAACAACGAATAGAATTTTAAGCATTATTTCCCCTCCGCCGTTGTACTGTCAGAAAATGTTGCGGCTGACAAAGGACAGGGCATATGGCAGGTTCGTTATTCGCTTACAAATACTTATGCAAAACGAAGAATCGACCAGGAATTCCGCACATATACCCACACAGAGAATATATGTCAACGGCAACAAATGTCGCCGCGTTGACAGGAAACAGCAACACCAAAAAACAGTCGAAACCCATGAAAAAAATTGCCTGGAGAACGCTCAAAAATGTAGCCAAAACTTTATCCATCTCTCTGTAGGTCTGTGTCTGCCTGTACCGGTCATGCGGAAGGTCTTTGGCCACCTGAACTGCAACAGACAAGTTTTCTGCTGGCCTTGCAGGCCACTCAACCACCCAAGCGCTTCCCTCGTAAAAGTTAAATTTGATCCGTGAAACGAAAGTCCGTCGTCCCCCGTTCGCCCCTTTCTACTGAGGCTGTCCTTCAACGTTTGCTGAGTAGCTTAATTCCTGCCACAATTAGCTGCTACAATTACCCAAAAATTTAAGCCTAGCTGCGACAGTCGTTGAAGTGTGTACCTTTAGTTGGCTTAAAACTGCTTCACTGTATTCCATTAGCGGAATGGCTGTCAGTCTCCGTCGGAGGGCCATCAACATTTGTGGTGCTGTCAATACGAGCATACTTTCACTCGCATCTTGCACTGTCAGGGCCCATCAATGGAAAGTGCACACTAGAAGACAACACAACTGAAAGATGTGCTCTCATTCAGAACGGATTCGCTATTTGCATTGCTTTGCCTGCACTTCCGCCCGGACAAAAGTCACGTACAAGCCGCGCAGAAGTGTTGCCAAAGTCCCTATCATCTCCAACTGGCTCCAATCGCTGCTTGTTGTTTGGTTAGGCAAATGAAGTTGGCTGCCGCCTAGGACACGACTATTTTCCATTGAGCCAAGGGCTGGAATCACTTTCCACAGCTTCTGTTGCTACTCCTTGCTGGCTGAATTGACTTAATGCCAATGAGGCTTAGTTTTCAATGCCAATTGATGGCTCGCTGTCGCACATAATGATGTGCAAACAAGGGGCTGCAATTAATTGAAGCCTACGTAAAGGGGCTCTGTATCTTATTCTCCCCATCTATGTAAATGTGGTGCACACTCAACGTCGCGTCGGTTGTCATAAATTTGTAGAATGCATGTGCAACAGCTAGAGCTGGAACTACAAATCATGCAACAGGTTCAACACTATCCACCACAGACGAAGCCAAGGCCAAAAGCGACAGCCACATCTGCTCCGATGCGAACCCCAGACCCGCAACCTCCGTGTTTGATTTACAATAGCACTGGCACTGGCACTGGCATGGCAGAGCAGGCAGCGGCAGCTGTGCATTTTCCACGCAGGACAATAAAAGCAATGGCTATGGCCAGAGCGACCAACAACAGCCACGAGATAATAGGCGGAAAATCGTCACATTTGTTAGACTTTATCAACCGCAGCACGGCGACGACAGTGACAATGATGTCGTACTGAGTTTTGCAAAACCAATCGTAAATCTGTGGAGAGAAAACAACTTCTGTTAAATGTGTCAACACCTTTCACTATTATTTCCCTGTCTGCCATAAAATCTTGTTTGTTCACGCGTCTGCCCTTGGACCCAAATGAGATTCCAAGATTATCTGTTTATGAATTTACGCTTTCAGCAATAACTCTTTTGGGTATTGCCCGTGCCTTGGGCCCTGGCCATAGCTGCGGGACGAGCTTTTTCTCATATCCGCAGCGGCGATTAGTTTTGACCGCCACACAAACTGCAACGGAAATTCAAAGGACCAGCCAAGGCGATGCCTTGCCCTGGCATAATTAGGTTTGAAAACTTTCCCGTCTATAGGGGAGATTAGAGGCGAGATGTCTTAGCGGAAGGCACAGCAGAAAACAAAAGCCAAAGGATATAAGCAAATTTGCTGCCACAGTACAAAGCAATTTCGGCTGATGTGGCAAATTACGACAGACACAGAGGAGATCCTTCATTCCCTTCAGCGAGCCGCAGGTGGAGCTTACGAGATGGAAAAAAATTAGCTGTGTGCAATTGAAACGTTGCCAATTTGTGCATGTATACATTTTTAAATTCAAAGTCCCGCCAAGGGGCAGCTCCTGCTCCCCTTTGAGCCTCCTAATTAAGTTACGCTCAGGTAATGAAGTGGCTAACTTCTTTGCATCAATTTATGGCGGTTAGGCGAGCGAACAAGCGGCTAATAAAATAGCTGGTACCTCAGCTATTGCGGTTTCTATTCAGGCTTCTAACGGATCCTTAACCCAACCACTTCCTTGTTTTTCTTTAATTTCACAATGTGTCCCCATTGTATATGTATCTATTTTGCAAGAAATATGGGCTCTGCCCCTTGGGCACACATCATCTCCAGCCCATGCCAAAACTTGCCCTCACATCAATCAACAATTGTCTCTTGATTTGTTTATTTAATATTTTAGCCATGGCTTTTGGGTTTTTTCTATCTTCTTTTCGTGTGTGTGGTGTGTGGGTGGTGTGTGTGTGGGATTTCTATTTCTTCTTGACTCCCTGCTTTGTTTTCTCCTCTGCATTGGGTGTGCTGTTATTTATTTAATTACAGTTTGATTGAGGCTTGTCTTTTGTCTTGTTTCGATTTGTGTTTCTACCGCTTTCGCCTGTCCTGACTCTAATGTTTTTGCTGTTTATTCTCGGCCCATATGTCAATTGTTGCCTCCAGCTTTGTATATAATCAAATTTGGTTTGGGTCTTGGTGCCAAGCGATTGAAATTGAGCCGAATTGAATTTGAGGCTTTTTCTTGGATCTCTGGCGGATACAAATTGCATTTCATTTCTCTTGCATACTTTTTGGGGCCACATTATGGTTTGGGCTTTCGGGGTCCTTTCAAATACGTCAAGGAACTCGTTCGAGCAACAATGCCATTTTAAGAGACGTGCCGTTGTAAATACATAGTATTTTTATCTAAAATGTGCTTTCCATTAATCTCGATCGAATTTCCAGAAATGTTCTTAAACGCGCTAAGCCAAAATTGATTTATTGTTTGTAGAAATGTTTAGGTTGAAATATAATACTTTTTGTTGTGTACTCTAAACCTCAATTAGTTCAAAAAACCATTTTTGTCTGCTCCTCTTGAACAGAAATAATATTTAAATTATTGAAAATAAAAATAATCGCAGGTGTTTCCTTCTGAACATTTTTGAATTGCATTTTTTCAACTATTTTATCATTGGTGGTGTTGATTTAAGTTGATTAAATAATACTGAATACTGAGCCAAACTTAGAGTTTTGTATACAAATATATCAAAACTTTGCAAAGATGTATGCAGTCCTAAAGATGCTATCAAAGATTTGAACTGATTCAACATTATAATACTTGCCACAGTTGAAAAATGTTGTGAAAAATGTTCTTCTTGAATTGGAATCAACAATAGTCACATTTATAAATAAAGAAATTTTGTCTTCAAAATATAAAAATCAAATTAGGAAGAGTCTAGTCTTTCAATCCATAAGCACAACTTACAGTTTAATTCAATTGCCGCTGGAAAAACTCCCGAAAAGCACAAAAATCGCGTATTAACTTTTTGAAATAAGGTACGGATAACCCGAAACTTGAATGAAACACGAGATATATCAAATATGTGTTTATTCCGCGGCCAAGTATTATAATTGTTTAACTGCTGCGGCTGCTCCTTCGACTGCTGCACGTTGACAGATCGAATGTCGGTTAACTTTTGAATCCGCATCCGTTGGAACCGTGGCTCTTATATGAGCGAGACGTCGCTGCTTTCCTTCGTTTTTGCCGTTGTTGTTGTGGTGGTGGTGCGCCCTTATCAACCAAAAACACCCACACGACAAAAAAATGTAGGGGAGTTCGCCATAGCGGCTGCTACACTGCCAACGACACTGCCGATGACGACAATGTGTGGTGAATTTTGCTCTGTTTCTCAACACGAACTGAATGGCCGTGTGTTGGTGGTGGTGTCGGGTGACAGGGTCCTTGCTGGTGGCTGGCGGCTGCTGTCAGCCAGGATGTAACAAGTGGCCATTGCCGTGCTGCATTTTGGTAGAAGCCAAGAGACCGTTCTTGGCCCAGACATGCCCTAACTTATCTTTCTTCTAGGATAGTTTTATGAAATTTGAGGATGTAAGCAAGCTCCTTCAAGGACGTCACAAAGGTAGGACACAGGCGAGGACACTTTAGAACCTTCCAGAACATGCCAAAGGAGCCCGCTACAAATGAAACACAATTGACTCTCATTGCAGAAGGACAGTGCGTATGATGAATGCGGTGGTTGAGGTTCATTAGAAGGAAACATACGCCCACGGGTTATTCCATATATATGTATCTGTGATTTGCATTCCCACTGCTGCGCCCACATCCTTCAAATGTGAATCCAACTATTTCTCATTTCGAATGGAAAATTGTCAGCTGGCTAGGCGCGCATTAGTCAAATGCAGGACACTTGCCTTCCAGCGCCTTGGCCTTAGTCTCCGTCTTAGACCTGCCTTTGTGGGGCAACCGCAACCGAAGCGGATAACTCGAATGACATGCAGGCAGTCCTTTCTCTACAGTTTGCCGATATGCGCCTCCTTTGGCTGTAGCTGTAACATTTCAAAAGCGAAACGCCAAGGAATTTTATGCGGAATGCCAGCATACATTTCACAATGTCGCCATGGGGCATGGCACGCAACATTTGTCCTGCTCCGCATTCGTTATGCTCATCTGTGTTCGGTTTGGTTCTGTCCTGTCCTGCTTCCTTTGTGCATTATACAACTGTCGCCTCTTTGCCGATTCGAACGCACTTTTTCGCTAATATTTTGAATAAAGTTTTCGCATTGGTGGTACAATTGAAGGTTGTGGTATGCTTCAATGTAGAAGGATTCTTGAATAATATGAGAAGAGATTTCGGATCTATTTAGTAGACATTTCAAGAAATCTGAAAATAAAATCTCATCGGCAATGTTGATTTGAGAAGCTATCATCTAAGAAGAACTTGAACTTCTCGAAGAGTGTTTTCTGGTTCTTAATTTCTAAACATTTAATATTTATTTCTTCATTTTCTGTGACAATTTGTTCACAGCTTCCTTTTACGCTTCGTACTAAATATGCTTAGCATCATTTGAAATAAATCTGCTTACGTTATTCCCATACGTTTCAATGCTTTCCGTTCGAAGCAATTACCCACAAAGAGGGGTGGCAAAATAAGCTGGAGATGAGGAAGCCATTACCAATGGAAATCCCGCTGAGACGTTGCTAAGTTGTAAATAGTTTAATTACAAATAAAAGGAAAAATCGTTTGCTAATTGGAAAATATGGTAAAAATATTCACATTTGATGGGAGACTCTCGGCTCCTGCACATTCAGGCTAATTGCCTCTGAGGAAAATGATGGGAAAGTTGTAGGAAATGTCGCACGAGCGCAGCTTGAAACCGAAATTGCATTGAGATTTGTAGAGCAATTACAACATTCCAGGGAAATTTATATGTACGCATGCTTTTATGGCTCTCAATGGAAAATGGAGCTCAATGACGTCAGCCAGTCAAAGGTCTCTCTTATTGACAAACGGAAGATAAAGTTGGAGAGTCATTTGCATCGGGGATACACGATCCCAAATGGCCTGCACGTGGATATGACTAGAAAGCCTTATTCACCACAAGCAATCGATCATAAATCAGGCTGATAAGAATAGCTAATGACATGCTCCGACATGACATGAGGGGGAGCTGGAAACTGTAACTGAAACCCAAAACATGGCCCAAAGCGTGGCCGGGCTAATCTCGATGGGCTGACACTGGGGCGTCATCGCACCGGAACAGGTTAATAAATTTCCCAGCGGTCTAATCGGAGGCCAGCGGCTCATTTGGCCATTTTACCATTTGGCATCTGGCATGTGTGCATATGGCTCTACGGAGGATAATGGCTGGCATATGCGCCAGTTTTTGTTGGGCTCGTTGTCGTTGTAGTTGTCGTCGTCATGGTGTGACTCGATCTCGCTCTCAAGTAATTTCAATTTTTGTCCGTTTGCCAGAAGACAAGTTCAGCCATAAATCATCATCTCAAACAAAACAGACAAAACAAAGAGGAAACAAGTAGAAAAACAATAGGACACCTTGCGACGATTGGATACCCGCCAAAAATTAAAAGATTAATTAAAATATTAATTTTTGGTGCTCTAACTATCAAACAAAAATCTTTGAATAACTATCCTTAAAAATCGTTTAATGAGGATAGGAAAATGTGCAGTAATGAAATATTGTTTAAATTTCTGTAATAATGAATAAAAGTGGATGTAAAACATGGGAATATCGCCTTGATTTCAGCATTTCGGCTCAATTGTGATGGTTTTTTTTTTTTGTTTAATCGTACATATGGGTCTGCAGGTTCAGAGTTCTATAAGTAAACTAAACATTAACAGTAAATTTGATCGATTCTCGGAGTTTTACATGGTGGACAGATCCAAGTTCCGTATCGAATACCATATACCCTTGTGATCTTAAAGTACCGGGTATATATATTAAAGCTGGGCACAGTTGGCCGGGCCAAAGACAACGAGGCACCCAACCTGTTTGGCCCACACCTACTCCACACACATACATAAACACAAATAAAGACAGACGGGCAGTGCAAACTTCCCACCGAAAAAAATGCATAAGCAAAAACATAAAAAAATAAGCAAAGAAAACATTTTCATAGCTGTTGTAGTTGCTGTTGCTGCTGCTGCTGTTAGACAGACTAAAAACCACAAATAAAAAATGGAAAATCACGATTTTTATGCAGGTTTTCGGAGATTTTTCCCACAACAAGTTCTGCCGTCTGGCGTTTTTTTCCATCTCTTTTAATTGATTCTGCGCATGAGAAAAACGCAGTGCACACAGTGCACTTGAGATCCAGATGAACTTATGCGGCGTTAGATAGTGGCAGCAGCAATAACTCTTCGAACCAGCAGCAACTAAAGCTAGTGGAAGCGACTAACAGGCAGCATAAATATGCATTTATAATTAGAAGTCAAGCAGGGCGCCCAGCAAAGTTGAAAGCGGATGGAATGGAAAATTGTAAATGCAAGTAAAGCTTTTTTCGGGCAGATGCGTAGTCAAGAATGCAGCCTGAGTGGGGGGTTCGATCAGGAGAGCGTATCCCCAAGTAGACTACGGCACTGCACTTTGTTCGCATGGAAGAGACACAGAAAGTCAGAAAAGCCAAGAATGTTGCTGCTTTGGCTCTCTTCTTCCTCAGTCTCGTCTCTGCTTGCTCTCTCTCTATCTCTCTCTGTCCCTCTGCTGCTGTTGCCGCTCGGTTTCTTCTCAGTGACACACTTTCCGACAAACGCCGCGGCCCAGAAGTAGGTGAGCAGCAGGCCGAGTGTGTGTGTGTGTGTGTACTCCAATGTACGTTCTCCATTCTACGCTTCACTGCATTGAAATTTCTTTTTTCGCTTTCTTTTCGAACTCTCCAACACTTGTGCTCTCCCGGTCTCCACACCACACAAAATTTGGTTCTTTACTTTGCCACCCACTTAAAAGCGTCAAGTCGCTTTGCTTCGCTCTCCCTCTCGCTCACGCCGACCGGCGCGGCGCTGACGTCAACACCGACGTCGCCGTTATATGGGTCACACCGCTTGGAGTTCTTGGAGAAAACTGGTAGTACAGGTCTCTGGCAGAGGAAAGTGATATGGCCACTTGATCGAAAGCGAATGCGTTTGCTTCGGCGTTTGCCCCAGCTTTATGTCATTCTAGATACGTATTTATGTATGCTTTCCAGCTGATGCTATGCGATAGAAATCTTGTTAGTTCTTCCAGTTTTGGGGTCAGGTTCACACAGAGGAATGGCATTTCCGCTCCGAGTGCGTACAAAGTGCATTGCATTATGTAAAAAATGTACAAAAATACGAAAATACCAAAAAAACAGTAATGTTGTTTTGTTGTCTGCTTTGGCTCGAAAGGTGAATGAAACTTAGTGAATGCCAGCAGTGGATAGGGGAAGACGAGAGAGCGGAGGAGAGTGGAGGTGGAGAGCCAACAGGTGATCCGCTGCATTGCTTAGTGATTTTCACCTGGTCTCCGGCTCTTCCGAGCGTGCCTTTGGAATTCGCAAATTGTTATGAGCAAAACAGAGAGAGAGAGAAAAAGCACGAAACTGAAAAAAAGAAAAATAACAGCAAAACATACAAAAAAAAACCAAATCGCTGCCATACAAAGACGACGTAAAGATTACACAAGCGCAGCGTCGACGATTATACATATGTATGTACGTCGAAGAGCAACGGGAGGGGGGGCGGCACGGCATTAGAAATAACACTCTGCTGCAATCAAGAAAGCTCTCCCAACCAGCAGAGCAGCGCAGCAGCAGCAGGCGCAGCAGCAGCATTGCTGAATCTGAAGCTGAAGCTCTGGCTCCCCATTTCAAGAGCCGAGCCGAGCCCAGAGACCGAACCCCAAAACGACTCGACGGCTCATCGGAGCTGCAGAGTGTAGAGAAATTTATCATTTCACTGCAGCCAAGACAGAGACAGCGTCGCAGCCAGCAGGCCAGCAGCAAGCGATCGCAGCCAGTTTTCAGTGTAGTGTTTCTCTTGGGGGTTTGGGTCTGCTCAGCTGCTGATCGCTCTCTTTGGCGCTCTCCTCTCTGCTCATCGTGGGGCTGCCGCTGCCGCTGCGCTGCTGACGCTCGCTGGCTGACTGCCTGGCTGGGGCCTGGCCACAAAAACAACACCACAGCTTTTCGAAATTAGTTCTAGTGAGTCTGTGAAAGTGTGAGCGACTGCGACTATCGGACGACGATTTCTGTGCACGCGCGATCAATTGGCGAACCGCAGGCGGATCAACTGGTCACTCATTTCCGAGAACTGCCGCAAGAAATAAGAAGCACTCCCACACACAAGCAGCAGTAAAAAGAAGAAAAGCTGACAAATAAAAATACATAGCTGGCAGATCAAAAGAAAACGGTCCGCAGAACCGAATAAGTAGTTTGGAATTATCCATCCAGCAATCCATATCCATCCATCGGTCGGGGCTCTACCAGCCACACATCCAAGCAAACCACGTGCAATATGTCGCATCAGTGCAGCTGCGGTCGCGATCTCAACAACAACTACGTCTCCTACACGAGCGCCTACGCCAATGCGAACACGGGTCTGGACCGCGAGACGGCGGCCAGCGGCGGCGGCAAGTCCAGCGCCTCGCACCACACACAGCTGACGGCCAAGGTGATGTTCGGCACCGTGGGCGCCATCAAGGAGTTACGCGACAAGGAGCAGCAGCAGACACGGCACGCGGCAACGACGCGCGCCGGCGAGAGACGCAACTGAAAGTGAATTTGGGATGGGATCAAATGGGATGGAATGGGATCGGATCGGGTCGGTTTGGATGGTAGGAGTATAATGGATGCTGGACGCAGGCGTCGTCGGGGTTGTGTTTCGAGTGCTGTGCAGTGGGTTTTTAGGAGATTTCAGATTGCGTTGGATCCTCTCCCATCCCGTCTGGTCCCGATCCCACATCTCACACTGGATGCGGCTGCTTGGGTGATGTTAGAGGCTTCAAAGGTGTTTACGGGGGCAGAGCAATATGCGGATTTGCTGGATGAGTGTGGCCAACAATTAAGACAGACATTCCTTCTTTAAAACAAAACAAACAAAAAAACAAATACCCAAAAAAGAAAAATCTAGAAAAAATCAACTACAAAAAAAAAGGGAACTAAAAACATCACATATTTATACGATTATATCTGCCACACTGTAACTCTGTTAGTGCATCCTATTAGCTTCAACTGTCTCTCTATATCTCTCTCCATATTTACACTGTATGATGATATCCTTAAACCAGTGCATGCTACTGGTCCTTCAGTTACTAATTTCCGATATTTCATCTGAAAAAAAACAACAGAAGATTAGCCCGACTCTTTCGAGAAAGGCGAATTCAATTCGATGTAAATTGTTTATCACATATTTATATATACATACTATATAGTGCAATACTTTAGCTATACACTCACACACACCACACCAACACACACATGGCTAGCTTTAAGTTTGTTTTATTTTGTAAGCGCACAAACACACACACATACCCTTACATACAATTTACAATGTTGTTTAATTTCGTTTTTTGTTGTTCACGCGCTCTGCCAGTTTTGGGCTGCGCGTCTGGAGACTTCCAGGTGCTGCTGCAGCTCAAAATGCAAAGCACGTAGCCCCACAAGCATACACATACACTCTACACTATACACTTATAAACCATATAAATATAACTATCTATACATACATACATATATACATGCATATATCCATTAATACTTATACAACTGTTATTATTTTTAATAATCATATTGTATATGCTGGAAGAAACAAGAGAAGAGAAGCCGAAAATGAAAATGAAATACTAAAAATTATATTCCTCTTAATGGGATCATGTTTGCTCAAGTGATTTTGTACTAAAATGGAAACGAAAATAAATGAAATAAAATACAAAAAATTATACACAAATTGAAATTCAATTAAAATCAAACAAAGTGCTGTAAATGGCAAGCATTCTGAACAACGACCATGAGCTTTTGTCAGGCATTAGGAGGACCACGTACTCGTATAGAGAGCATGACAGCGCATCTACAATATATTTATTATACCAGATAATATAATATAAATAATATCTTGCATATCTAATCTTACTACTTGTAAATCTATTTATAAAGCTAATCCTAACAAGGGCCAATAAAAATCGAACTTTTAATAAAACCGTAAACCGAATAACGCTTCAAGAGATTGCCAATTTCAATTACTCCGAACAATGGCAGTGCGTGGGAGGGAGGCGTACCTTTTTCTCCCACCACTGTGGCTGCGCGTGAAAGTAAGAAAAAAGAAGAAGTGAAGAAACAGAAGAAACGGGCAAAAAACAAATTCAAATAAATTATAAATTACAATAAAGCAAAAGGGGAAAAGTAAAATATGCGAAACGAAAGCGAAGTCAAGTCAGAAGCCAAGGGGGCGCCTCGTGTATTATTTCAGCGATTCTTTTTGTGTGTTCTGGCTCCAACACTGTCCGTCTATCGGCCAAACTGTCCCTCTATCGCATTCACACTCTTTCTCTCTCTCTCTCTCTCTATCTCTCTCTCTCCGTCCCCCTCTCTTCTAATTATCAATCGCTCTGCCTATCTGGAGGGCGTCTGTCTGTGCGAGCAGAGTATACTCGTACTCGCTGGTTCGGTTCTTACGCTGGTAACACTGACCCAGTCTCAGTCTCATTCTCAGGTTTCGGTCGCCGCCGCCGTCGCTGCTGCCCAGCACTTAAGTGTCGTCAGCAGCAGCAGCAGAGTTCCATCTCATTCCCATATTGCTGCTTCCTCTCCACACGCGGTGCTCTTAAAAGCTCACGCGGGCTGGATGGATGTCGCTTTGTGGATCAAAGTCAGCGTTTTTTATGGTTCTGGTTGTTAATTATTTGTACTCTTTTTGGAGGGCGCCCTGCGCACAGTTCAATTGAAACCAATTGTCCAAGTGCGTGGCTCTTGTCAAGCAAATGTATTTATTTATTTGCTTACGTATACTTAATTTACGAGGCGCATACGTAATGCAACGCCCACCACTTGTGCATTTTCAGCCAGATGGGACGTCACTCCAATTACCAATTGAGAGGATCGCTTTGAACTGTAATTGAAATACTACATAATATGCTAATTGAAGCCATTTATGACTTTTATCTTGCTGCTGGACTATGCATATATCATTTATTCATTTACCTTTCGAATTGAATATTTTCTGCATCTGGAATCTCAGCATCATTTGAAATGATGATCCAACCTTCCAGCGTACGCTTATTCTCAAACGATTTCATTATTATTACGTGATTCAGATCTGATAACATCACGTGCAAGTCCAGTTCGAAGCAATTAAAAAATTTCGAGATTTCGAAAAATCCCATGAGCAATTGTCATTAGGCTTTGTAAAAGAGACTTTTATGTCGTAAGTTTTTATTGGACTCTCTTAGATTCTTGTGTGTTCGCTCATGTGGATTGATTTCAAAAATAAAATAAATAAATCATGAAAAATCTCTAGAAAGTTTCTGGATTTTTGTCAGGGAATTTCAAACATTATCTCGGCTGTCATCTCTATAAAGTTATCAGCTCATATATTAATTCTTTCTTATTCAAGGAAATCCCCCTTTATTATCACACATCTCTAGAAAGTTTCTGTCAGGGAATTTCAAACATTATCTCGGCTGCCATTTCTATAAAGTTATCAGCTCATACATTAATTCTTTCTTATTCAAGGAAATCCCCTTTTATTATCACACAATTTACAATGCGCTTCCCGTGTATCCCATCAGACCCACTATATCTCTGACTATCAATGTCAAGACTCTTTGCCAACCGCACTATTCCATTTCTATTTTCAGACTTTTTGAAATGCTGATGTCATGCCTTTTCTATGCATATTCTGCTTTCCGTTCAGTTCAGTACCGCTCCGTTCCGTTCGGTTCGGTTCGGTTCAGATCTCAGATCTTCAGGTCTCTTTATCCACGCTGATCTCTGGGACTGTTACTGGGACTGGGAGTGCGAGTGTTATTGTTTGTCACTTTGTTGGGTGATACATCATCTCCTTAATTTATGAGGTGCAATTTTTATGATCTGGCTGGCCCCTGCCCTTACCGCCGTATACCCTCATTGTCCGCTCCCTGGACTGAGAGTAAAAGCATACAATCCGCTGGTAACAGCACTTCTTTTTGTGTGTGTATTGGTTGATTATTTTTTATTTCTGTCTTGGCTTTTTTCACTTTTTCTTGCATGCTCTTGTGGCAAGAACTTTCTCTTCTAATTGAAAGCAGTTCGATGATGGCGGGCGATAAGCCATCGGTGGACCGGTGGTGCGGCGGAGCGGTGGCAAAGCATCCAGCTGGGCATCTTTTGATGGACCGGCTGTAGCGATGGATGGACCGTGGACATGGACGTAGATGTGGATGTGGAACTGGTTGACTCTTTGAATGTGGCATCAGCGGAGAGGATGAGTGGATGAATGGCAATCCACAATGTAGTAAGACATTTCTTATGCCCCGGCTATAATGGGAACTTTATGCAGCCGGAGGCATTTTATCTCTCTTCCTCTCTCTCTCTGCGATTTGAATACTGGACAAAAAAAGTCAGAGTTGTGGAGGGGCCGGCGATAAGCGCCAACAAGTTGAAAATAAATAATAAATATTTAAAAGTAGAAGAGTATGGATCGGGGGACAGATGGTGGGCTGGCTGGGGAGGGGGGCAACCAAACTGCCACTACGAGACCGAGTGAATGAAAGCCAACAGAGAACTGGTCGCTTGCCTGGGAAGACTTTGCTCTGGGTCTTGGCTCTAGCACTGGCTGCGACTTTTTTTTTTTTTTTTGGTGAGCAGCTCTGTGGCACGGCACGGCTTGGCGTCTCGCATCGGCATCTCGGCATCTCCGTTTCTTTCGGCTTCTAATGGCAGCCGTGAGGTGAGAATCGATTTAGTTCGGTTTACGACGATCAAAGATACAAACGCGAAAAAGTTTCTATTTGGTGTGTGCGGCATATTCGAACTGGCCACAAGGAGAGCCCCAGCCCCAGGAGCCACGAGGAGCAACTCCCACACTACTCAAACAGAGAATAGAGCACGTAGCACAGATACACTCAGCGAGAAAGTCCCGTTCCCCCTCCAGCTACTTAATTGAGGCAGGTGTTAATCGCAGTACAAATTGCACTTTGGCTAAGTCAATTTCCGTTTTTGCGCAAAAGATCGGCGAACAAATTGATTATTATTAATGGCCCGAGTGCCACAGTTGGCCAAGTGAGCGTGGCCAAAAGAAACATCTACTTAAAACAAAAAGCTTCGACGGCCACCCGGAAAATTTCTCTCAACTCAGCCAGCCACTTCCTGGTGGTTTTCAGACGATGGAAGAGGGGAGATCCTTGAAAAAGGAAAAAAAAACAAACTGTGTGCTTTTTGCAAAACTCGACATCCGACCGCCTAACGCTTTGGATAATTGCATAATTAGTTTATGAAAAATTAAATTACAAATTACAAGTGCTTAGGGTAGTGCAGATAGAAAGCATATAGCTGATATAAACAATCACCGCTGCTCGCAGCTCCAAATATTCAAGTTCTTCGGACTCACATTCCGAAATACCTGCATCTGCTTTATGCAACGCCTCTGTTTTGTGAACACCCGGCTATTGGAGTTGCATACACTGTATACTCGGGGAATACCATATTTTATTGCATAGAGAACTGCCAGTCTTGACGCCTGTTATGTGGCCATTGAAGCATATAAAGTGATCCGCATTACATCAAATCAGCAAAAACAAATCAAGACACAAGCAAATAAGGACTAGTACTATGCGAGTTCGGGGGAATCCGAGGCATTCGATACCCCTAGAAGTTAATTGAGCCACTTGTACATGTTGATTATGGAACCAGAATACAGGATCGGAAACGATACCTTATCTGCAAGTGTATCATACTATCAGACCATCGCACTTCGCTGCTTACTAAATGCATTTAATGTTTAGGACTTCTCTCCGTTGCGGAGATAGCCGCTTACACACAGATTTTTTTCTACAAATTTTTGGTATAGATATATATTTGTATGTACATATATATGTAGATAGAGAGAGAGATTAAAACCAATTCAGTTCATTACACAGAATTTTTATGTCCCCATTGATTGCTTAAAAAACAGTCCGAATAAGTGTGAAGCTATTCTAATGCATTCTTCACTTCAATCAATTCCCCAATTCACACCACATAATTAATCAACTCTTCGCCTCAAAAGGGTATGAACAAAACAGTAAGCACTAAAATCACTCGTGCGCAGCCAGCGTAAAGTGAATTAAATAAAAATGCAGAAAAAGTGCAAAACAAGAAACAACAAAAATACATAAGCGAAAAATGTGATAAATATGGTTAGGTTAGGCGATAAAAATTTGTAGTTGTAGCTAACTTTTTGTATAGCCACAATACCCACTACAGAGGGGTATATTCGTTAAAAGGATATTACATACAATAATTGTGTATGCTGGATGAAAGGAGGAAATCACACCACATTAAACTGATTAAAGTTTTGAATGAAGATATAATCCTTTAATTAATATTTTTATACACTCATGTAGATGTAAAGAAATAGGTATTCCTATAGTCGTAACAGTTTTTGTAGCATTCTTATTTGTTTATTATTGTAATTAGCTGTGGGGCAGCCCCAACAAAATAATATTAAATAATAGCGGTTTTTTTTTTTTGCTGTATTGCTTCTGTTTTTGTTATCGTGGCTGATGTAATCGATTGAATCAAATCATAACAGAAATAGCAGTAAAAACATAAATTGATTTATCAAGATTGGTGACCCACAACATCGTAACTTCAGCGATAATTAAGTTTAATTTTCCAGCTTATTGATGAAGCTTTGTTTTTCATAATTTATGTGGCCCCAAGGTGGCAGAGTAGTGCAATCCATCAATAATTATAACTTGCAGCCATTAAATATATGCAAATATGAATCAATTTTATCCATGAGTATACCTGCTGAGTTTACCCTTCTGGAAACTTCTAAATTAATGTCATGATTTGTTACAGAACTTTGCCGAATGCTTGGAATGGTGCAGCCATCATTTTTGATGGTGGTGGTGCTCCTGCTGCTCGTAGCTACATTTTCCCAGTCCCTCCAACCGGAAAATGCCAGCAGCAAGCCACCAACCAAGGAGCTGCCTCGCCCGCTGATCCCACTCGAGGAGGAGCATGAGATTGAGTCGGGAACATTCCAGAGAGAGCGTAATGGGCGCTCACGTCGCCCCACCCTGATGGATGTGGCGTTGCAGCAGAGCGTGCGGCAGGGACTGGACGCCATGGCCGAGCTTTATGGCCGCATCCAGCCGGAGATGCTGCGCAATGGTGTGTATGTGTGGTTGGGATGCTGCAGGGAAAACAATAACCGCCAGTCCTAACCTTCATTCCAATCCTTGAAAATACCGCATAAAGGTCAAACCCTGCAGGACAATCATCCGGCCGCGATGCTCTCCCGCTTCAATGCCCCCACCGTGGACACCGAGCGGCGGGAGATGGCCGCCTATGCAACCATAGCAGCAGCCAAGGCCTTTCGCAAAAAGTAAGTTCCAGGGGCTGGCACATACAGGGGGTGGGGGTGATGGACTTACTCATAAGAGTGAGTGGGTGGGTGGGTGGCTGATGCGGTGTGCGTGTGGGTTGCTGTGGTGAGGCATAAGTTCATCAGCCGCAAATATGTGGCGATGACATATGAAAAAAGTTATTCGCAAAAGCTCAAAGGCGCATAATTAAAAATCGAATCGATTTCATGAAACGAGGGTGGGATGAAAAATGTAGGGAGCATAATGCTATATTGTTTCCCTTGATAGTTGCAAATCTATGGGAATAATACACCGATTGGAACTATAACAATTGGTAATAATCCTTTGGGCCCATAATTCGTACTTACCCCGACCAAACTTTTGGTGGAAACTCTGTATGCAGCCCTCGCTTATGTCCGCCAGTGGAGTGGCATGCCGCACACTCGAGCTGCTTGGCCGCGGGCAATCTAATGCAAAACCAACAGTTACAACAACAACAACAACAACAACAACAAAAAGAGCCACAGACAAAGACAGAAAAAGTGAACAATGCGACTCGTATTATTGAGTTTGTGGAAGCCGCCTCCCCTGCGGTACATACGAGTAGGTACCGAGTAGGTACCCCCGTGTGCGTAGCCCCTGTCCGACGGACCATTCCTTCTCCTACCAATTACCGTTGGCAACTTTCTCGCTTGATTAACGAGTTCTACGGCATCCATGGCAGCAGAGGCACAGCAGCAGAGCAGAGGGAGCACCGGCAGAGAGCAGCCAGGCCTTGGCTAATGAGTTGGAGTATTGGGAATGGAATGGCAGTGGCGTTGAAGTTGGCTCAAGTGGAAGTGCGACCCCCGCCCCGTACAAAAAAGTGCTCCGAAATGAAACGAAAATCGACCGGCAGCAAAAATCGTAGCCAAAACGTTGGGACTCGTGCGGGGAGTGTGTCTGTGACTGCTCATGACTAAGAGTCAACTTTCACTTTGACATTGAAATGCCGGATAATTGCAAGACAAGCCAACGGACCAGACCAGACCAGATCAGGCCAGGCCAGGCTAAGACAAGTGAGGCGGCCAGGGCATGGCTGAAGGTAGATTAAAGCCGCCAGGGTTAAATGACCTCTTTGGCAAAAGCAACGGAAATGGCAGACGCCACCATCTCTGACTCCGACTCCGACTCCAGCTCTGAGCGAAGTTTTTCCAGTTTTTCTCACTGGTAAAGTTTTCACTTTTCACAACGGGTTGAATTTCCAGCTTGTGTCTGTGAAAATCCATGCAATTTTCCACACACAAACTCGTAAAACGCATTAGCCGCTACAAAGTCGAGAACTTTCACCCGAAATGACACAGGTGGGGGACGACTCCAGTTGGAGTAATAGTGCCAAAAGCAGCATTTAGCCAAATTAGAAGCCAAAGAAAGCGAGTGAGCGAACGTGACAAGAAACGTTAGAAAAAAAAACTTATGAAAATTCAACAGATCCAGCCTAGCTTCATGGGGCTTGCCAAGGGTTGGGGGGGGCGTGCCTTGAAATGCTAGCTTCATGGCCGGGTAGATACTCTATTCGTGCTCACAGCACCATACCCAAGAAAATCAAACAAATAAAGACAGAGTAGGAGAACCAGCAAGGATGGAGTAAGCAGCAAACAAAGAGATGAAACGATAGAATGATTTAAATTAGCATGTTAAGGCATTGAAGCTTAAAATATTTGCACAGCATCATCGAGGATGGGATGTCCTTCTGCTGAATAAAAAGCTTAGCACCATCTGCATGCTTCGCAGTTGTATTAACTCCACTGTAGATGGTGAGACTAGAAAAGACTTCTTCGTACGACAGTATTCTGATCAGAGCTAACAGTACCCTCTTTAAGAGTAACAATGGGCATAACCAAATCAAAGCGAATCGAAGTTTAGCCCCCTCCCTCTCGCACTCACACCCAAGCACTTCCATTGCAAAGTTTGGATTCGGTATTCGCAATTTGATTACATCAAACGGTGGGGGAGAGCAGAGGGGGCATCAGCAACAAAACAGCGAAAGGCAAAGCTAAACACAAAGCTCCAGACGGTGACTGAGGCGAAGACGCAGACGCAGACGTAGACAGTGGACTTTGACGACGACAGCAACAGCGACAGCGACAGCGACGACGACGACGACGACTTCCACTGATATGCTGGAGAAGAAAAGAAAGAAACAGAAACAGAAAATGAAACACAAACATGACGCGACTTTCGTTTTCTACCAGCGTCGGCGTCGAGCATCGAACATCGAATTCGGATTCGGCCTCAAGCTTCCCAGCCATACCATACGAAAGTTTTTGTACTTTTGTATTGTGGATTTTTTGTTTTTGCTGTTTTCGTTGTCGTCTCTGCAGAAAGTTCAATGACCGCTGCCGCTGCCGCTGCCGTAGCTGCGGCTGCGCTTTTTTTCACTCCTACACACATACATATGTACATATGTATGTACTATGTTTTAACATAACATATTCACCTACATGCATATCTGTGATTGAGATTGCGCATACGCCGCCTGAACCCAAGGCAAAGGGCTTTAGGCTGTTTATGGACTTATTTTATTATTAACACAAACGCCAAAAAAAAAAGCTTTTAAATAAATTGTACAGCGAACAATGACAAACCAAGCTCAAACAAAGCCTGGGAAAACATTTCCACTTTCACCTGCCAACTGGCCTGTGGGAAAACTGGAAAAACGTGCCGAAACGATTATACACTTGCACTTGCACATCCTCCCGAGAGCAACCAACAATCAAAGTTAATTCACTAAATGTTCATCTCGAAGCTCAGTGAAAATATCTAGAAGATTGATTGATCGACAGATCGCAGGATAATTATGGTCCGGACAGGAAGTAAAAATGGAACACAATTGGTTGTCCAATTGGGAGAAAGTTCAAATCAAGTTTAAGAGTTTTAAAATTTCCTGTGATTAAAGTGCTTTTTCGATAGATCATTGATTGCTTAATTGGAGTTGTAAAATGGTTCTTATAAAATAATCATTTCTGACTTTGATATCTTCATTTGAGAGAGGAAGTCCCAAGCTGTGCTGCAACATTTTTCGGATGTACGCCAGATAAATAATCTCAGAGTATAATTTGGTATTTCTTGAGCTGTTTAAGCTTCAAAAAAGCTCACTATCTTAAGCTTAAATATTTAGACAGTTCGCCAAGAACTTCAATATTAGCGGAACATTTTCTAAGGCATCTCTCTTAACAGGACAGAGTTGTCGAAGAGAATAAAAAAATTAATACGTTGAATAGAAAATATACACAAGAGAACCCATATTGAAATAGGGCTCAGGTACATTCCCTAGTGACAACTGGCAGCTTGAGATTTGTTTTCGAATAAATACATTGTACATCTGTACGTACAAAATTATTCATCAACTAAGCAACAATCTGCCGATAAAGTGACCCTGTATTGTGGATAACTTTCCCACAATTAAATTGTGCGCCACTGCGACACTATGTGACACTGCATGTTTCATGACCAAGCGATTATACCCCCCAAAGATTCAAACGAAATGAAAATCAACGAACAAAATAAAAACTACAACCTGCTAATAAATGTGGCAAATGGAAAGCAAAAGCGAGTAAATTAAAGCCAGCGGCAAGCTCGGTGATTTCTTATGCGTTTTCCCGCCACAAAAACCAGCGCTCTCACACTCTCAGACACACACAACGCAACAACGCAACTTGCTTTAATTCGTGGATGGTGGATCCCAATTTGATGCCGCCAGCAGTGGAGCTGCGAGCTGCGGCCCGCGAACCCGTTTCCACCAACCCAACTCCGCTCGGAGCTCAGAGCTCAGAGCTCGGCTCTGGCAGAGCGTTTTATAAATAGAAGCTGGCGACGGTGGCAGGCAGCACTCGAACACGAAATTTGCGCGCAGCCATGTCGTGGACGCCAGATCCATTAGAGCCTAGTAGGCCGCCAGGATGATGGCCTGAGATCCTGGTACTATCACTCGACTCTGTCTCTCTTCCCGTCTGTCTCTATCCGACAGCTTCCAGCACTTCGATGAGCTGGCCCGCCAGTCGCACGCCCAGAAGATCTCCCTGCGCCGCACGGCCCTGGAGGGTCTCTGCCCGCCCCGAGATCCACCACCCTGCATGCCCGCCTCGGAGCGGTATCGCACCCACGATGGCACCTGCAACAACAAGCGGAGACCCCGCTGGGGAACCGCCCAGATGCCCTTCAATCGCTTCCTGCCCCCGGAGTACGGCGATGGTGTGGACACTGTCCGCAGTTCCACGGATGGCAGCACGCTCTCCTCGTCCCGGTTCGTGAGTCTGCTGGTCCACGGGGCCAGGGAGGGCGAGGCGCCCTTGACATTGATGATAGCCCAGTGGGGACAGATGCTCGACCACGACATGACCTCCACGGCCCAGCCACGGTAAGACCGGAAACTGCCGATTATCTTTTTCAGCTCTCTGAGATTAGTGTTGCTCTTTTGGTAGCTCCATCAATGGCTCGATTCCCAGCTGCTGTGGCGGCAAGGACTTCCATCCCGCCTGCTTCCCCATCAAGGTTCCGCTGGATGATCCCTGGCTGGCACCGCTCAAGGTGCGCTGCCTCGAGTTTCTGCGTTCGGCACCGGCCCAGCGGCGCGACTGTGTGCTGTCCTGGCGAGAGCAGACCAACCAGGTGACCTCCTACATCGATGCCTCGCCCATCTACTCGAACAGTGCCAAGTCCTCGGACAATGCGCGCGTCTTCCGCAACGGCCTGCTCATCTACGGACGCGGTGATCCCGCCGAGGATGTCTGCCAGCGCGGGGCCATAGCCACCAAGTGCATCCGCTCCGGGGATGGCCGAAGTGGAGAGCAGCCCGGCCTCCTGGCCATGCACCACGTTTGGGTGGGCGAGCACAATCGCATTGCCATGGAGCTGAGCGACATGAATCCGCACTGGAGCGACGAGAAGGTCTACCAGGAGACGCGGCGACTCGTCGGCGCCATGTTCCAGCACATCACCTACCGCGAGTTCCTGCCCGTCGTCCTGGGCCGCGAGGTGTGCCGTCTCTTCGACCTGGACCTCCTCTCCACGGGCTACTACGAGCGCTACAGCTCCAAGGTCAATCCAACGGTGGCCAATGCCTTTGCGGCGGCTGCCTTCCGCTTTGGCCACTCCCTGGTGCAGAACTCCTACACGAGATGCGATCGCCATCACAATGTGATCAACAATAGTGAGTTGTGGCCATCATTTCATCACCCTCTGCATGTGCCCAACTTATGTTTGCCTCCTCCTCCTCCTCCTGCAGATGTCAGCCTCCATGAGGAGTTCCAGCGAGGAGACATTGGCTCAGCCGGCTCCCTGCACCGCCTACTCAGAGGCTTGGCCTCCCAGCGTGCCCTCAAGCGCGACGAGTTCATCACGCCGGAGCTTACCAATCATTTGTTCCAGACGGCCGGCTTTCCCTTCGGCCTGGACCTGGCAGCCATCAACATTCAGCGTGGCAGGGATCATGGCATTGCCCCGTATAGTGCCTGGCGTGTGCCCTGTGGCCTCACTCCCATCCATAGCTGGGATGATTTTGGTAGTTATATCCCACATTTCCCGCTCCTATCTATTAGATATTTAGTTCGAATTTCCTCGCTTCGTCCATAGCCAACGTAGTCGGACCGGAGTCGGCCAAGCGCATCGGCCACGCCTACCGCAGCGTCCACGACATCGACCTCTTTGTGGGCGGCATTGCGGAGCGACCCGTGGTGGGTGGCCTGGTGGGGCCAACCTTTGCCTGCATCATTGCCCAGCAGTTCAGCAACTCGCGGAGGGGAGATCGCTTCTGGTATGAGAACGGAGGCTTTGAGAGCTCCTTTACGCCCGCCCAGCTGCACTCGCTGCGACGGGTGTCCCTGGCGCAGGTCCTCTGCCGGACGGTGGGCGGAGGTACCCTCCAGCCGCACATCTTCATACCCGCAGAGTTCACGGACAACGAGCGGCAGAACTGCGGAGTGGACAGCCTGGCACCCATCGATCTGAGTCCCTGGCTGGAGCAAGATCCGTTTCTGGCTGGGCACAATCATCACCAGCAACCAGATCAGGTGACTAACATCGGGCAGCCGGAGTTGGGCTCGCTGCATATCGTCAAGGAGGACAAGGCGGGCTTCTCGAATCGCGTGAAGCCCACCAGGCCTCAGGTGGAAGTCAATCCCAATTCGGGCAGTGGCTTCCATCGCCCCAGTCCCAGTGGCAACATCACCAACTTCACCAAATTAAGCGACAAACTCGACCTCAAACGCAAGACAGTGACGACCAGCAATGGCAACAACAATCGTAGGGTGACACCAACCCGAAAGACCGGACACGGGGTAAACAACAAACTGGACAAATCTCCCAAGATAACGCTGAACATAAAGAACGTGAACGTGCGAAGACCAGAGCAGGGTGCGGGTCTCAAGCGCAGGGTGATCATCAATAATGTTCCCCTAGAGCTGAGGCATGCCGCGGAAGGGAATGCAACCGATTCGGATGCAGTAACAGAGACAGAAGACGGGAAACGAAGACAAAGACCAAGGCGCGGACGTAGATGTAGACGAGGACATAGAAGAACTGGCAGAGTTACGGAGTACCGAACCACTGAAACAGGACGAAACTGAACCAAAAGAAACGGACGAACAGCCACTGACAAACATAACCACTGCCCAAACAGAGAAGGAAAAGAACGAAGACGAACGAACCTCCATTGACCCACTGAGACAAACAACTGACGACTTGACGGCCTCGAAGCGAGTCTCAAGGAAGCTTTCACAGGAGACGAAACCACAGGACAAGACAGCTGACTTTCGACTGCTGCACATGCAACGCAATCGCACCACTACAGAGACCACTCAGAGTTCCACCACAGCCAGCTTGGGACGATCCACACTACTGACCAAGGCGCCCAAGAGCAACAAGACCACGAAACGGGGAGTCGAACTGAGACAATACCAGAGCAGACCGATATACACGAGACCCCAGAAGGTGGTGGTCAACGGACCGAACGCCGACCAGTACGAGATCGAGATCAACATACGACAGACGAACAAAAGTCCACAGAATCGACCCTCCGACACGACGGACTATGCCGAGTACACGACTGTCTACAAACCGTACAACTCCAACCACAACTACGACCCACACTACGGGGAGTATGCCAGCACCACGCCCATTCCCAGCTATGGCTACTTCGAGCCGCAGGCACAGGAGTCCGGCACACAATCGCACAGGACGAAGCCACCGACGATCATTTACCTGAACGACAATGACGACAGACACCAGACCACTACTCGAGCACCGAACATCTTCCAGAACTTTCTGACCTTTGCCACCAGCAGCTTCAATCCGCTCGGCAATCGACGTCCCTCTCCCACGCCACCGACTCCGATCTCCCAGCCCCATAAGGAGCGGCCCCACTACGAGAACAATGTGATTAACAGTCCCCTAAGTGTGGGAAGCTCCCACATTAATGCGGGTCCAGCGTACTCCTCTAGACCCTCTTCGGTTCACTCGTATCCCGTGTCCACTAGCTCCCAGATAGGCGCCAATCATCAGTCATATCCCGTGTCCACTAGCTCCCAGATAGGCGGCAATCATCAGTCGTATCCCGTGTCCACTAGCTCCCAGGTAGGCGGCAGTCCACAGTCGGGTTTTCTCCATGTCTCCAGCAGCGCCGTGAGTGCAGGTAACTTCGGGAGCATCTCCGGGGTGGCCAGTGCCAATGGAGCCGACAGCACATTCAGCTTCAACATACGACCACGTCCCAGTCCCGAGGTGAGTCCGGTGGTCAGCTCCTATCCACGTCCACAAAGTCAGAGTGGCGGGGGCTACGGCTTGACTGGACAGTCTCCTTATAGGCCAGACTATCACCAAGGCCAGAGCGAGCTCTACTACGATCGTGAGGTTAGCTCGGACAGTAATCCGAGTCCGTTCTCCAGCTCCAGTTCCGCTCACAGGCCACAGACGCTTGTCCATACACAGACCTTTTACGGACGAACGCCGGAACTGAAGGAAGCACGACCAGACAGCAACAAAGACAACCACAGCAATGACAATGACAATGACCTGATCAAAACCGAAAACAAACTGTACCTACAAGACTACGACTATCTCAGCCGTACTCTATCCAATATTACCAAGGATGAGGGCACCGAAGAGGACAACGACGACGACTACGTATACGACGAGGACGAACCCAGCAATGACCTGGACGGCGCAGTGACGGGCAAACAGGACAGGACGGACAGCACTGGAATGCCCACCAAGAAATACGACAAGAACGGCTACATGAGACCCCAAGACAACAACAGAACCACAACGAACGCCACAGCACTGGACGACAACTACGTACTGCACATGCTGGAGAACAAGACGCAGAGCAACTACGTGACGGAGATTCCCAAGCCCATGCTGTCCACCTCCACGCGGAGCATAGCCAACAGCAAGGTGACCGTTTTCTCGGACAGCCTGGGCAAGCAGTTGGGCAATGACATTCTCGCCGACGAGACGAGCGACTATGACGATGACGATGACAAGACTAGGACTGGTACTGGCACTGGCACTGGTGCCCTGCAGAAGGCTCAGAGACTGAAACAGCTGGCCAACGTGGCCTTTGCCCCGATTACTGTGCTAACGAAGCCTGACAGACCCGACAACTGGGTGATCTATAACAAGGCCAGTGAAGAGCCGCCTTTGCCTCAGCCGCCGACTCTTAGCTTGGATGTGGCGCCTACCGGAGAGATACCCACTCCCATACGTTTCTTTAACAATGGATGGAAGAAACAAGATCTGAAAGCTATCACGGAAACAACCCCGCCTTCAACCACAGATGCGGACACACCGCAGACAGAAACAGAAACAGACAGCACAACAGAGGAGGTGGAGGGTATTGGCGCGGGAGAAGATACTAGAGAGTCAACCACTGTGGCAGCATCCGAGAGTAACTAGTAATGCCAAATAAGCCCTAGATTACTTAACATTTATTAATTTATTTAAATTATAAAATCACGAAATAAAGTCCAATCATCATTCATTATTAAAGTGAAGATTCTATTATGAAAGATGTGATAATCTGAAAAAACTCTGTCGAGTATTGGCAGCCTCTTGAGGCACTCCTTTTCCTACTCTTCTCCTCACATAGAGCACATGGAGCATCGTTTTCAATTGGGTATTCACAGTGCCAAAAATGTAACAATTCTTGGTTTGTACTTTATTACAATATATGCAAACTAAAACTACTCATTCGGAGAACACACAGAACACACACATACGAATGCTTAACTATGTATAAGTAGGTGTTTTGTTTCCCCAGGGGATATGCTAGCGGGGACCCTGTTTTGATATTAATTTCTAGTTTCGGCATGTCCAGTATACAATATAATATAGTAATATGATTTCGGAGCAAACATTGCTGTGCTAAGTAGTGTAAAAGTAAAAGTACAAGTAATTGGGTTACCATTGTAAACGGCATTATTATCAACATCATCATCAAAGTACAATTACAATTTCTATGAATATTTATAATAAATTAGGCTTGTCACCAATCTATATCTGCCTCTAGTTGTTAGGTATAAAATGACTAAATAGTATAACAATATAATGTACACTTTAAGCTGCAACACTTTGGGCTATTTGAATATTAAATTGCATTATTTGAATATCCTAGCGCTGCCAGCAAATTGAAAACATTCTACTAAAAGTAATCGGTAACCGGTGTACGGTATCCACTTTCTGCTATCGCCAGAGAATTTAACTAGTTAACCCGTGCTCTGTCCTCCTTCATTGGTATTTACAAACGTAGACGAATCTCCTCTGGTGGTTTTTCAGTACGTCGCGTAAATGCAATTTTGAGTTGGTTTCCGTTTTGGGTTGGGTTGGGGTTTGGGTTTGAGGGTCTTGTGCGCACTTTATTACCATCGTATTTGATGCTTGTACTGCTCATCTACGGCAATGCGTTTGATAGTCTCGTAGCCAAGGATAATGCTGAAGGAGAAGGCCGCCGACTGCACCAGGCGAGCGGACAGGCCCTTGAAGAAACAGTTCAGTTTCTCCTCCCGCCACAGCTCGCGGAAAGCAACGCTCATCGAGTCTAATCGATGGACCTAAACGGAGTGACGAAAACATTATGATTCAGATAAGGTATTCTATTTATGACTCTGGCGTTGGGTTGGACTCACCTGCAGACGGGCGCGCACTATGTCTAATGGATTTGTTAGTATTGTCGTTGTGAAGCCACCCAGACTGCCGGCCACGCATTGTATAAACAAATGGGATACCCAACCGGGGCAGATGCGACAGAGTTCGTCTGGAATGAAGAGCAATCCAAATTAAATTAAATTAATCTTATCTGGCTAATGGAGGCACTTTGCGGCCTGACTCACCCTGATATAGATGATAGAAGGCCCACCACATTGCCGAATTGGGTACATAGGCCATGAGGCTGGCCGTATAGCCTCTGTAGAAGCCGCGCAGACCATCGCGCCGCATTATCTCCCGTCCGATGTCCATGGAGATATGTAGGCGGCTGCGGCCGGGCCATGATTTAATACCCAGAGGATTGATATCCCCTTTAGATCCGGCATGCGCCGACATGCCGAGCACCATGGCGTGCTGCGATATAACATCGAAAGGAACTATGATGGTCTGACCCACCAGCGAGGCGCATCCGCCTCCGACTAAAGCTTTTACACGGTGCCCGACACCCAGATCGGTGAGAACGTGTCGCACGCCTTCGTAGGTGCTGATGTAGAAGACGCCCGATACGATTTGCACCGACGATATCCAGAATCCTCGATACAGTCCAGGCACACCCTCGGACTGGTAGATTTTCATTGCACAGTCCACCATGCCCTTGTAGACATCGCTCTTGTACTGCACCTGGAGCTGCGTCTTGATCACGGTCAGCGGGAAGAGACAGCAGCGCACCGAGAACGAGCTCAGCATGGAGAGCGGGAAGAACTTGGTTTTGTTCATCATGTTCCATTCGATTGTGCGTATGTAGGGAGATCCGTCCACCCCACTGCTCGTCCCAGCAGCTCCTCCGGACGACACAGTGAGGTGTGTATTCGTTTCCGCCATGGTGCTACCTGTCGGACACAGTGCGTCCGGAGTGATGCGCTTGCATGCGGGGCAAATATGTGAGTGATGCCGATGCGGATGTAACGCTTTCTTCTAGGTTCAACACTGTTCAGAGCATCCTCGGGCATTGACGGCAGGGGCATTCAACCAGCATGACGACGACTATCATTCACTTAGTTCCCTGGGTATTCTCCCTTTGTTTCCGCTCTCGTGTGTGTATCTGCAAAGAACAAAACAACATCTCAGTGTTGACGCAACTCGAACGCATACGCACGAAAATCATTGCGAAGGCCTCAAGGTCGCGCCGTGACAGATTGAATCTTTTTTTGGGGTATACGCGGCCCCAACCTTTGCTCAGTGGGCAAGGCCAAGGAGGATTTCTGGCGGGAGTTTTGCGTAATCCTAGGCGCTATCTTATCTTCCAGCACCATTCTCAGATTTGTAATATTCGAGTTTTCATTATATAATGCGCAGACACAAGGCACCACCTGACTGAGTGGCCACCCAACCCAACGCCTCACTCCTCCCCACCGCCCAACGACAAAACATTGTGCGTAAACAACGTTTCAAGGTGGAGTTCTCTCCATGCGCTGCACTGCATCACAAACCACTAGGTAGGTGTTCACCTGTTCGGCACTTGGCTGTTGTTATTGTTAATTGTTACCACTTACGCCTGTATGTTTGGACTTGATTTTTTGTACATATCACATAATAATAAAACCGCTGATGACCAGTGCTGACAACTTTTCACTAGGAAAAAGCTATTTCTTACTGACACAAAATACTTTAAAAACAAGCTGAAATTTTTCACAAAAATTATGAGTGGTGATATTGGCTAATATCGACAATTTTTCATATTTTTTTTGTAATCACTGGCATCACATTTCTATAAAATCTCCAATTCCAGTTTCCCGTAATTCACACATTTCTCCGGCAATTGGCCTTCAAAACAAGCCAGATCTGACGGGAAAAAAAGCCAAATCTGCAGCTCTTCAATTGACTATAAAGATTACGGCCACACAGTTATACTAAAAATACCAAAACGCGCTACACAGCACTAGTACACACAACAAAAATCCAAAAGTCTGGCAGCACTCTGACCTAAGTTTGAGCAATTGGCAATTCTGGTGGCTAACGAACGTTTGAATTGAAATTTCGAATTTGAAATTTTCATCATTTGCTTATAATTAATACAAAATGCATTTATTAGGGAATTCTATTGAAATTATATTGAGAACGTTTTTGATAATTACCTTTTTTAATAAATATTAAAGCAATAAATAATAAAAGATCCGCTCTAACTGAATATCAAGCAAAAGTTTAACAGTTTGTTAAAAAATTAGTTAATAATATTTAAAATATTGTTTTCAAACTAATTAACGCCCACGCTGGCTTTCCATTGGCCAACACCCACAAACGCTGTTGAACCAATGAACAGCCTTTGGGGGCGTTCTGCACCTGCGCAGAGAACAATCCACAGCATCCTGGCGCATCCACCCCCATTAACTGGCAGCCTCTAATCACAACCCGGCTCCGGTCGAATCCTGCGACGCCGTCACCACACCAGTTATAACGGGAACTCGAGAACGGCTGCACGATGACAACGGAATGCGGGCTGATCAGCGACAAGTGAAAGCCAACGAGCGTTGAATAATTTAATATTATTGATGTGCAGAAACAAGGCAAAGCGAAATCCTATTAGTGAACATTTTTACGCAGCCAGCGGCACCCGCCATCAAGTTCAACAGTGTTTCCGGTCCGGTCAAGTCCGGCCGTGTGTCCGGAGTGTGTGAAGTCAAGCGTGCGATCTATAGTTTCCACTAAATGGATACCGCCAAACTGGTAAGATTATGTGAGCCAGTCAGTCGAGTGCCAGAGCTCCAGTGTATCAATTATTCTGCTTAAAGCTTTTATTTCTGTTGAATCTGACATAAATTAAAGGGCTAATACTTAAGGGTGCCCCATGCGGGGCTCAGCCATAGCTCAAGGTGTAGCCCATGTTCTCCATCAGGGTTTCCTTGATGGCCGGCTGCAGGGCGCGCTGCATGTAGGTGGTCAGCAGGCCGCGCACTCCCATGGAGAAGAGCTTCTCCAGCTCGTGGGACATGGCCTCGCCGACCAGCTCCTCACGATCCCCGCTGTGATTGACGCCGCCACCAAACCCTTCACCTCCTCCACTCGCGCTGAAGATGTCCGCAAAGGCTCTGGCGTCTGGTTCCACCATCTGCTGCAGTTGCTCGTCCTCGAAGTGGAGCACATCCTCGTTGAAGCTCATTTGGTCCACGAAATTTTCCATGGCTCCGTTAGCCGAAGCAAACCGCCGACGACGACGTCGCCGCTTGTTGAACTGCCGCCGGTAGAAATTGTCCGCATTGACATCCACGAACTCTCCCGAGTCCCGGCCATGGCTATCGCTGCCCAGCTCCAGGCTCTTGTCCCGCTGCGTGGTCTGATCCAGCCTGATGTCGTAGTCCGGCTTGTGGTACTTGCCCCATCGCTGGGGCTGAGGTCGCGACGTGCCCATGATGACATGCGGCTCGCCCAACTCCACTTGGGGAGCGGTTCCAACGCCGTAGCCGAATCTCCGCTTCGAGTTCTGTCGCAGCCGGATGCCAGTCGGTCCCTGGCAGCCGTGCGCAAAGACGGAGATGAAGCCGGGCTCCGCAAAGTGAGAGTCCGTGCGTACGGACGAGGCGCTTAATCTCCTGGACTGCTCATAGGACGGAGGTAGCGAGCCTGAGCCCGCTGGCTCCAAGCCCAGCGGCACAGTCCGGAACTCGATGCCCGCATGCCGCAGGCGGAGTATCATGTGGCAGCGTCCGCCCATGGGCTGCATCACCACCTTGCCGCTGAGTGTGAGATCCGGGAAGATTAGCCGCGTGTCCAGTGTGGAGTTCTCCGTGCTGAACTTGCACTTGTCAATCTCCACCCACCGGGAGGCGGACTTTGTGGGCGGCACACGCACCTTTAGATCCTCAACCTCCACCCGGGATACAGCCAGCTTGTGCGGCTGCCGGTGCAACTGCTGCTGCTGCTGCTGCTGGTGGTGGCCGGAGAGCAGTTCCTCCAGCTCCAGCGCAGCACTGGAGTCCGCGAACGGATAGGGGCGCCCATTCCTGTGCAGCAGCTTGGCATGGTAGCCACGACCCGAGTTGTAGCTGCCCCCCGCATTGTAGAAATCATCGTCGGGCTCGCTGTGCTGGCCATAGAAGCTGTGGTACAGCTGGTAGGGACTCTGCGGCGGCGGCTGCCACATGGATCGCGAGCGAGTGCGATCGGAGGAGCTTTTAGTCTGAATGCTGCGCCGTCGCATGTGCTCTAGGGCGCTCTCCAAGCGATTCGAGCAGCGATGCGGCACCTGATACGGCTGGCACAGGGCCACTGGAAGTGCAGGATACTTGTTGTAGTTGCTCGAGGGAGACGAGACCAAAGAGTGATTACTTACCCTGGAGCAGAGCGCAGATCAGCAGCAGAGTGCACAGCCAAAGATAGTCCCGGCTAATGTGTTCTGACATGGCGCTGAACTGAACATGGAGCAGTCTGAAGTTCTGAAGCAGTCCAGTGGATGTTTTGGGGAATAGGATGGAAAGCTGAGAAGAAACACCTCCGTACTGGCCCGCAGCTCAAACGAAAATGCAAAAGGCAAAGCAGGCGAAGCGAACCAGCCGAGAAACTGGCTCGGTCGCGCTTCCATTGCCACAGCACCCACAAGAAGAGCGCTCCGCAGCGAAGACAGCGAACACTATGGTGACGACTCGTGTCACTGCCTCCTCATGTGCAGTGAAAGTGTTTTCCACGACAAGCACAAGCCCAAACCCAAGCCCAAGCTGGAGCTAGAGCTAGAGCTCAGAGCTCAGAGCTAGTGGTACAGCCTGAGTCGGAGTTGGATTCGGATTCGGAGTTGGAGACAGCCGCCAACCAATTTGCCGCACACAACGCACCTCAGCGTGGAAACAAAAGACACAAAAAAAAACAAAAAAAAACAGAAAAAATACAAAAAAAGAAAAGCATTGTCTTCTGTGCCCTTCTGTTCCCTGCCTCCTCTGGTGTCGTGTGGCGGTTGCTGCAAAGTAGATCAACCTCACAGAGATACACACACACACACTGATACACTAATACACTTGCAAATGCAAAGCAAATACAGTTAAAGTTTCGTAATGGCAGTTGCGGGCGCGCATGCGTCGTAATCTTTTCCATAAGCCGCACCACCCACCAGTCTTCACATACTCGTACCTTCCTCATTGTTTGCCAGAGTTCAAAGTTGATTCATCGAACGGACGAGTCTGATTGTCAGTCAGTCACCGCCAACGTTTGTTTTTCCCCAACTGCAATCGTAATTGGCATCAATTGCGCATACAAATTAGAGCCTAATGGTTAGGGCCTGAAGTACACCTCCATGTAAAGGGTATGCCTATGCACTCTTAGCTGCAAAGGCTACAATGTGGTTTAATTGGCTGTGGAACTTGACTTAAAATTTTGAATATTTTAATATTACAAATATTAGATCTTTACAGATCAACCTTGGGAAATGCGCAACCAAATTGTAAAGCTTTTCCTTTTGAAATTTCTATTCCTAAATTCTTCCTTATGTTTGTTTCTGCAAAAATTACATCCTATAAACACGTTCCAATCCAACAATGGATTTTGACCTGAAGAGCATTCAAAGGGTATTCTGTAGTCGTACCATGCGCTTTCAACTTTGGGCCCTTGTTGCAGTTGCGCACGCGTGGCAGGTGACAACGCTTCGCTGGCTGCCTCTGTCTCTGACTCTGACTCCACATCAACCTCTGAGTGCGCTATGTGCTCGTGACAGTTACACTTAATAATTGTGGTAATTTGATTTGACAAATTGTTTGCTTGCACTTAGCAAGCGCAGGCAAACGACATATTTTGCAATTTATCAACAAATTGGTACCAGCAGAAAGCGGAAGTAAAACTGTTTATGGATTGCCAAATGCAATCTGTTCGGCCACAAATCCAAGTTAAATGTACACACAACATCGAAGATTTACATAACCCACGGCTTGGAGGAGGAGAAAGCAAAACATTCTGAACATTTCTTCTGCCACATAGTACAAAGAGGGACGGCACGGGCACGGTGCCGCTTTCTGCGTTCCAAAGAGTATCTATCTGGAGCAGGGCTGGTGCTGGAGCTGGCACTGGCACTGTCGCTGGATGCTTCTATTGCCGATAGAGCCCAACTGGCAACGAATACGGGCATGTAATTAGGGGTAACTATCGTACAAATGATTCTCGAATGCGACGGTGCACATCGCATCGCATCGCATCGTTTGGTGTGTTCCAGTTTTCAAATGTCACGTGAGGGATACGATGTGATCGCACCACCCAATGCACTTTGGGATATAGGTCCCAAGAAGATTGTTCCAAGACCAACCATTTGGAGATTTCTTTTCCCCTTCACTGTATCTCTGGTGTAACTGGGAATAGATTGGCTCATCCATGTCTGATGTAACGCAAACTATGCAGCTGCAAGTATGAGTATGTCA